TCTGCGTACAGATAACACCGCACCCCGAAACTCCGGATGATCTCTCCCAACGGCTTCATGTAGATGTTAAATTACATGGGGGACAATATTGAACCCTGCGGAATCCCACAAGACAATGGTTGTGAGGAAGAGCAGTTGTCCCCCAGCAACACCTTCTGAGTACGATCCTCTAGGAAGGACCTGAGCCATTGCAGAACAGTGCCACCAAGGCCCATTCCCGCGAGGCGTCTCAGAAGGATACCGTGGTCGACGGTATCGAAGGCCGCTGAGAGGTCCAGCAGAACTAACAGGGACACACTCCCCCTGTCTAGCTCCCTGCGCAGATCATCCACTAAGGCGACCAAGGCTGTCTCGGTACCATGTCCCGGCCTGAAACCAGACTGTGCCGGATCTAGATAATCAGTGTCTACCAAGAATACCTGGAGTTGTGAGGCCACCACACGTTCCAGGACTTTGCCCAAAAAGGGGAGATTGGAAACAGGCCGATAGTTGACGAATTGAGTGGGATCCAGTGATGGTTTTTTCAACAGCAGTTTTATCACAGCTTGTTTTAAGCTGGCTGGAATTTTGCCTTCCTGAAGGGAGGCATTAACCACCACCTTCAACGACTCGGCCAATCCCCCTCTGGCCTTCTTTAGAAGCCAGGATGGGCAGGGGTCTAGGATGCATGTGGTTGCCCTCATTCCTCCAAGTATCTTGTCCACATCCTCAGGTTTCACCAATTGAAATGAATCCAACAAAATCGGATAAGCAGATGCTCGTGTTACATCCTCTGAGACTGCCGTTAACATGGTGTCCAGGTCAGAACGGATCAAAGCGACTTTGTCCGCAAAGAACCGAGCAAATGCTTCACAGCGGGCCGTCGAGTTGTCAGGGTTCCCATCCGAAGTGGTGGGATTTAATAGACCTCTGACAACTCGAAACAGCTCCGCTGGACGGTTCTTTGCGGACGCAATATTGGCCGCAAAGAACAACTTCTTTGCCGCCTTTATTGCCACGGCATATGCCCTTAGAAGGGCAACAAACTGTGTTCGATTTAACTCGCTTGGGTCCGAACGCCACACACGCTCTAGTCTCCTCTTCTTTCGCTTCATCGCTGCCAGCTCCTCGGTGAACCAAGAAGCTGGTTTAGCTCGGCTACTTGAGAGGGGACGTTCCGGAGCAATCGTGTCTATTGCCCTAGTCATCTCCCCGTTCCAGAGGGATACCAGGGCATCAACAGAATCACCAACCGAGGTGGCGGGGAAATCCCCAAGAGCCGTCAGGAATCCATTCGGATCCATTAGCCTCCTGGGGCGGACCAACTTAATGGGTCCCCCACCTCTGCAGAGGTTGGGAGGTGCAGTGAGTCCTAAATCTGACCAGATAGTGGTCGGTCCATGGCAACGGAGAGATGGACAACTCCTCAACACCGCCACCTTGCTCCCATCCCTGACAGAAAACCAAATCCAATGTGTGTCCAGCACTGTGGGTGGGGCCAGATACCCGTTGGGACAGCCCCATGGTTGCCATGGAGGACATGAAGTGTTCGATTTGACTCGCTCGGATCCGAACGCCACACGCTCTCTAGTTCCCTCTTCCTTCGCTTCATCACTGCCAGCTCCTCAGTAAACCAAGGAGCTGGTTTAGCTCGGCTACTTGAGAGGGGACGTTCCAGAGCGATCGTGTCAATTGCCCTGGCCATCTCTCCATTCCAGAGAGCGACCAAGGCCTCGACAGGGTCACCTACCGAGGTGGCGGGAAAATCCCCAAGAGCCGTCAGGAATCCATTCGGATCCATAAGCCTCCTGGGGCGGACCAACTTAATGGGTCCTCCACCTTTGCAGAGGTTGGGGGGTGCAGTGAGCCTAAATCTGACCAGGAAATGGTCGGTCCATGGCAACGGAGAGATGGTCAACTCCTCCACACCGCCACCTTGCTCCCATCCCTGGCAGAAAACCAAGTCCAATGTATGTCCAGCACAGTGGGTGGGGCCAGATATTTGTTGGGACAGCCCCATGGTTGCCATGGCAGACATGAAGTCCTGAGCTGCTCCTGTGAGGGTCGCCTCGGCGTGGATATTGAAGTCTCCCAGCACGAGAAGCCGTTGAGACTCCAATGCCAGGCTCGAGACTACCCCCGCTAGCTCAGGTAGGGAGACTGTAGTGCAGCGAGGTGGACGGTACACTAACAGAATCCCTATTCTGTCCCGGTCACCCACCCTCAGGTGGACACATTCAAAATTTGTGGTCTGCGGGATGGGACTCCTGGTCAGATGGATGGAATCTCTATAGACCACTGCGACCCCGCCTCCCCGTCCTCCGGATCTTGGTTGGTGTTGCACGGAGAAACCTGGAGGACAAAGCTGGGTCAGATTTACTCCTCCAGCTTCATCCAACCAGGTCTCCGTGATGCACGCCAGATCTGCCCGTTCATCCAGGATTAAGTCCTGGATAAAGGTCGTTTTGCCGTTGACAGATCTGGCGTTCAGCAGCACCACCTTCAATCCGGAGGGACCGCCAGCCTGGTTACACCAATTTACCATAGGAGACCGGTTTGGGATTCTTAATGTAGATATGCGGTCCGAATTAGGCCGAATTTGTGGTCTCCTTTTCCCGCATCATGGTTCTGTTGATAAGGTGTGGAAGATGTAAACGTTGCTTGTTGAATCACAATGTGGATGAATTCTCAAGAGGATTTTTCTTTCATTCTGGAACTAGGGCAAATGGGTTTCAGAAATACCCAGTTTGCTGTCACAAAAGGATACATTGAAACCACCATGAATTATGTCAAAGTGATATAACACAAATAAAAGTAAAAGAATAAGGGCACTGATAGGCTTAGGTCCTTATCTCATGAGCAGGGGAAAATGGGGGGGACTGTCTTACTCAGTTACCTCCTATTGAGATCCATCTTCTCAGATGACCAGCTATCCCACATCTTTCCCCCACTTTTCCGTTTGCTAACCGACTCCTCAAAATGCATTTTGGGCTCTGTTTCCATTTGCAGCAGAAACATTCCCACTGGAAGTGCCCTTACATCTTGTGATGGCCTTCGCAGGACTCCGTTTCTGAAGTGCATTGAAACAGAGCCCAGACTCCATGGGATGAGGGCCTTGGAGTTTTCGAAGAAAAGATAAGACACTATATGGGATTGGGGCTAATTTCCCCCAACCCTTTCCTTAGAGGCTACAACTTTCCTTAGAGGCTACAACCCAAATCTAACAAAATATCATCATCATCATCATAAATGTTATGTCTTACCCACCTTCCTCATGGCAAGGCACAGCATAGTTAGAACACATCATCATCAAAATCATTCAGTAAAATGCATATATTAAAACATTTATACATGTTAAAATACACAGAACAAAGATTAAAATACAGTAGACATAGAATGTGAATTTAAAATTCATAGTTAAAATTGATTAGTTAGGTCTGCTGGAAGAGTTGTCTCTTAAATTCTGATAGCAGTCAAAATTCCACAATCTTAGGACAGTTGGTGCAAATGTCTTAGGTTGTCAATTAGGTTCTGGCTGGTTGGAGAAGCATTCCCCAAAGGATCTAAATGTCCTATGGGATGAATTGTCCTTTAGGTAACTTGTAACCAAAACTTCGTACTTTGCCTGGAAACTAACTGGTGACCAGTGGAGTGACTTTAGTATAAGGGTGATTCCCTCACTTCTGGATGTTCCTGTAACTAGTCTGGCTACTGTGTTTTGAAGTAATGGCAGTTTTTCAACTTGATACAGAGGTAGCTCAACGTGAAGCACATTGCAGAAGTCCAGCCTTGAGGTTACTAGTGCATGTACTACCATTTTTAGGTTCTCCAAATCTAGGAAGGGGCACAGCCAGATTATCAGCTAATGCTGGTAGCAAGCACTCTTGACCGTCCAGCATCTACCTGGGCTGACATTTGGAAAGACAGATCCAGAAGCACAGCCTTTCAGGGGCAGAGTAACCCCATTCAGAACTGGTTGAGATGCATCTACATCTACAATATTTTGCTTCACTTCCTGTTGGTATTTTGGAGGCGAAATGTAGGGAAAACAAGGTTTATTGAAAGGTATTGCCGATTTGTGGGTTGCTATGCCTGAAAATTGCAGCAAATGTTTGAAAAAAATATTGGTGGTTTCAGAGGGGATTCTGATGGGGGGATTCTGGGGTTACAAATACTGACCAGGAGCCCAATTTTTCCCATCCATGTTTTACAGCTTGTGCAGCCAGGGAATATTTCCCTTACCACTAGAAAACAAACAAGAAGGAAGCACTACATAATTGTACTATACAGAAATAATAGTCTCTTAACTGGGTCCTGCATGTTTTTTGTCCACAGATGGCCACTTGCGTGATAGCAGTATGGAGTATGTTCACTGGTTGATGTGAGTATTGCTTCCTAGTCCGTCTTTGTATTGCCTTCAGGTTCAGGCTTTAGATAATTTTCAAACTGAATTTCACTGTTCAGCTATCAGTTGAACAAGCTTTCATGGTCCCAACCCCAAAAGGGATCCCCTAAGCTCAATGATGAGGTCATGAACATTTGGCAATAGTCAAAGGTTTCTGAACACCACCTATCTGTGTAAATCTGTTAGCAACAACATACAGTGTTTATGGTGGACTGTGCAGAAAATGCTTCAGCTGTCCTCCACGAAAAGAAAATTCAACCTATTTAGCAAGCTTTGCAAATGCTGATTTATTTTTAGTAAATATTTGATGTGTATACCTATTTTATATGCCTACATACCTTGGGCCACATAAAAATTTCTCAGGTGGAAAGGGGGCACAAGTGGATTTTTTTAAAAAAAACCTGGCCTATGCAACAACTGTCAGTCTTGTGGCCACACGTGGTCCAAGCCATCCCAAAGGGGAAGTAAAGGTCAGTGCTGGACGCTTCTTTTGACCAGTTGTGTTTTTGTGAAATGAAGGAGGTCAAATGAAAATTGTGAATTAATTACCTTTCTCGTTGAGGGGCCTCAGCTTCCATGAAATTCATTTTGAAAGTAGCTTAAGACAATTCATTTTTGTAGCAAGCAACATCTGTTTAAAAATTGGTAATTTCACTTAACATAATAATCATCTTGTGTTTGTTTAGATGTGTAATTGTAGGTAAAGTTTCTTTTGACTCATATTCTATACCTACAGTGCAAACATTCCTGGAAATAACATAGAGGCAGGTGAGGAGATCTGCCATTACTTTCCTGCATTCCCTGCCAGAGGAACTGGATACCATCGGTATGTCTTCCTCCTGTTCAAGCAGCTCCAGGCAGTTGATTTCACTGAAGATGTACGGCCAAAACCATGGTAATTCTTTGCTTGGTATACTTAAAGTGAGATAGCTTTCAGATTCTGTCTCCATTGAGAAAAGCAGTCAGTAGGTTGCTTGTTAAGGAGGGGTTGTGACGATTTAGCATCACTGAGTTTTAGAGATCAGATTAAATAATGGAAGAGTTCTGGGAAAGTTTGATTTTTTTTTCATTGTAATTTTTTTTCCGCCTTTTACTTTGGAATTACTAGGTTTCTGAGAAGGAAACTATCTCATACTTGCCTTGGGCTTAGCAGCTTCTCATTTGAAATAGGGATAAAATGTCAGTTGCTTGTGTACCTTGCTTATTCTTTTGTCTAAAGTTGCTGATCTTTCTCTCACATAGTATGCAGAGCTACTTTCAAAGACAAGTCCCATACAACTGTCTTGAACCCCAAATTGGAAGAAAGGCAGAATTTTAAATAAAATTTATAGAACATTCTCAGGAATTTCTACTGCACATATTTTAAACTACTCCCCCATGATTAAAAAAATCCACAAAATAGTTACTGAATTAACCGAATGAAAATGCTAATCTCCCTTCTCTGTCCCCTGACTTATAATTTTCACTGTTAATTTAGAACTCATTAACTACTTAATTGATGAGATAAGGCTTTCACATGTGGTGTAGAGGTGTAATCTTGCAGTTCTGTTTTATTTGCTGATTAAACTTGAGACTAGTTGGAACAGGATGATCACAGTAGATAACGATAGGGACCTAATGTCTCTTTTTTGTCTCTCATTTGTCTTTTGCAGTCACAGCCTGAAGATGAGAACCTTCAAAACATTTGACTTCTACAAGAAGCATCAAAACAATATCACACCAGCAGGACTTTCATTTTTCCAATGTCACTGGGATGAATCTGTTACACGGGTCTTTCATCACTTACTCAGTAAGTACTGTCCTACAAATAGATCATCTGACAAAAATGTTGCAGTAAAACTCTTTAGCTATTTTTTTAAAAAAAACCTCAGATAGTTTACATTTCATTAAGATTTTTAGCGAGACCTCACATTGCTGTCGCCGTCACAAATACAGTTGGCAGCAACGAGAGAGAGGGCCTTCTCGGTAGCCGCCCTGGCCCTTTTGAACTCCCTCCCCATTGAGATTAAAACTGCCCCTTCCTTGTTATCTTTCAAGAACCAGTTGAAGACCTACCTGTTCAAGCAAGCTTTTGATGAATAAATTCAATTGATAATAACAACAAGGTCGATTTATACTGAGCTCAGCAAAATATGCTATTTCATTGATGAGTCTCCACAACAATTGTAATTTGTTTTAAATATTTTTAATGCTTAATATTTATTTATATCTTATTTCTGGCTTTGCATGATTTTTGTCTTGTATTTTATGTTAAACCTACTTTGATTTGTATTATATTATGTTGTGAGTTGCTTTGGGTCCCGTTAGGGAGAAAAGCGGGATATAAATAAAGATTTATTATTATTATTATTATTATTATTATTATTATTATTATTATTATTATTATTAAGCATGCATCCTTTGTGATGGGCAATCCTACATTTGAAATTTTACAGAATCTGGAGCTTCTTGAGAATTTCTGGTATTCAGTTCTAATCGCATCAGTTAAGAGCTTTGATCTTTTCCTATGTGTGTGGGGGGATTGTGTTTGTTTTTTGTTGTTGTGATTGATTTTTCCCCCTTCTTTTTGTAACTCTCACGCCTACCCTAAGCCAAGCTTGTATTCAGGCCATGTTCTGTGACAGTTACAGGTTTGATATTACCTGGCTGTGTCGAATGATCAGCCAAGAATTGATCAGAAATCAGAGTCCTTTTGATGTTTCTAGTGCTTTCTGGCTTACAAACCCAGAACAGATGGAAACTCCCAAAAAGTGGCTGCAAATGAACATCAACCTGCGGACAGCTAGAGATAGTGGTAGAATTCCTTGTAATGTAATAAGATTAGTAATTGCCTTCTGTTTAGGTATCTACAAAGGAAAAGCAAAGGATAAGCACAAACAAGACAATATTATTCTGGTAAAAGATCATCAGTTACATTTCTTCATTAGAAATATGCTGGAGGGTGTTTAAAGTTAGTGCTTTCAGTGTTTTGAACTTTAGAAATAACATCCTATCTGCTTCTTTTAGACATGAAGGAACCAGTGTTTGACTTTGTGCGACCCCCCAAATATCATCCCACACAGAAGAAGTTTCCACATCGTCAGCCTCTGAGATATTTGGACAGGTACAGGGACAGTGATGAGCCGACCTATGGGATTTACTGAGGTGTTCGGCGCTCTACTTTAAGAGAGGCACCCAGACAGAAGATGCAAGAAGAAGCTCTGCCGGAGATCAGTTCACGCCTGTGATCAGGGAATTGAAGTGCCAGACTCACTGTCAGACTGAGTTCAAATCAGCAGTCATTCTGGTTCAGCTTTTAAAAGGAAGATACAACTGAGTTCTAACTTGTGTCTGTCTCAGAAGATTTGTCAGAGATGTCACTAATATAGCCAGTGAAGAAGCAGTCCAGCTGTACCAACATGTCTATGACATTTAAGAAATTGAGCTTCTGACTCATTGTCAGAAGCAATTTTTTTCTAAGCACAGTTATGTTAATGACCTGTTAAACCATATCTGCAAAGTGAAGTCATCTAATTGGATCAGATGATACACAAAATATTTCAGATTTATTTGCTTAACACTGAAATTCTGGGCTGTGCATCCATAATTTTAAAGGTGTGAATAAACATGACTTTAAACACCACTATAGAAAGAGCAATGTTAGATGTTATTCTTAAGAGTTAATTAACACATCTTTTGGTCTTTTAACTTCAGGACTTTAGCAGACTTGACTGTAGTTTTTGTTTTCACATTGTTTGAACAGTACAAAAGATCAAAAACAAAGCTTTTAAAAATCTGGATGTATGTCTACTGGTGGTATTAACTTTAACTCTCATTATTCATTTTAATAACTTATTTCTGAAAGCCTATGCTGTACAGCACAACATCAGTGCTTAGAGGTGTTTTATCCCTTGAGGAACACAGGATCATCTGGAGGAGAAAGGCGGGATAAAAATAAATAAACAATTGTCTCTGCCATCACAATAGTGATTTCAAAAACAGGGGAGTCACAAAGAAAGGAGGAAAGAAGGCAATACCAATGAGAGGAGAAACTACTTTTTGTTTCTTGAATAACGGGTTTGGAGGCAGAGAAGTCTGCACAGAGGCAGGCCATGGGATGTGTGCCCTAGACAGTTATCTATCCCATGGCATAGCTGATTGTTCAAGGCACTCCTGCACTGCCTTGGTACTTCGGAAATGTCTGGAACGCAGACGCTTAAAAAGCAGATTATATGGAGCTAGCAGCCTTTTCCTCCATTGCTACAGCTCTCTTTTAATGAGCATTGTGACTGCAATGAGATGGAATAGCCAGTGCACGCAGAAGAAAGCAAAGCTCCAATAATCACAGAGAGAATAGTTAACATTTTTTAAAGTATTAAAGAGTCCTTGCCTTGGACAAAACCATGAAGGGTCTTAAATGGTGTTTCTGGTTGTTTTATTTATACTTTATTTATTATTTGATTTTACTGAACAGGCTGTCCCCGAGTTACAACTTACAAACAACTCATTGTTACAAACAGGTGAGACAGTGAGAGAAATTTTCCCCTAGGAAGGGAAATACAATCTTGAAAGAAAGAGTGATGGGGAAAAGCTGTCTCCACTGAAGCTTTCTCACCAATCCTTGTTTCCATGACAAGCCAAATTTTTCAAAATCCAATTCTGACAGGAACAGAAAGTGAGGTGAAATCTGAACAGGGGCACAGAGAAGCAAAACAAACACTACTGGGGTGTGAACCTATGCTATCCAAATCTTGTGTAAGACATGTCACAATGTTCTTCTATTCCAACTGACCCAACAGGTAGAGCTCACAGGGAAACCTTGTGTGAGGAGTATGCAGCGGCAGCCTCTTTGCATGTCGCATGCGCTCAAAAAGGGGAGGAGGAGCTATGATCAGCTGCCACGTGGTCCTGTTACATTCAGGGCCCTTGCTGTTACGGTCATCCAGCCAAGCCGCAGAAGCCGGATTGGCTGAAGGATAACAGCTAAAACGGATCCACGCACAAGCCTTCAAACTAGTGAAGCTCAAAATTAGCTGAAAGATTAGCATCAGGAAGTCTTGTCATTTTCCAAAATAGGAGGTGATTGTAGTTTTTAAAACCAGTTTTCAAACAGGGCTAGAGGGAAATCTTGTGCCAGAAACTATAGCTCCTTTTCTCATTTACGGGCAGGAGTTGCACTCAGCCTGGCTGCTCCACTTGTCTCTTTAAGAGGCAAGTTGGCAGAGAGCCAGAAGGGAAGCCCAGCCCTTCTCCTCTTGCAAGTGTGTGGGAGTTTTTTTTGGGCTTAGTTTCATTTTCTCATTGCAGCTCTTGCTCTTGCTCTTGCTCTGAAGAAAATGGCATCTGGGAGATCACAGAAACTAGAGGAGAAGCTAGCATGCTGTATTTGTTTAGAGATGTTTACTGCCCCTGTGACTACACCCTGTGGGCACAGTTTCTGCGAGAAGTGCATCAACAGCTACTGGGACAAGGAGGCACAAGGACCCGCAGAACAGAAAGTCTACTTTTGTCCTGAATGCCGGAAAGATTTCCCCGAGAGGCCAGAACTGAGCAAGACAGTTCAGTTGGACAGCCTGGTGGAGCTGCTCAGGCAAGGAGACACACAGGCCCCTGGAGTAGAGCTGAGCACCACTGTGCAAAGGAGGGGATGCCCAAGGCACGGCCGGCCCTTGGAGCTGTACTGCAAGAATGAGAAGCGGGGCATCTGCTGTGAGTGCACCCTGAAGGAGTGCCAGAACCACATCAGAGTCCTCTTTGAAGATGAGCGGAAAACGAAGGATGTAAGCAAGCTGGAGCAGGGTGGTAGTGAAGGACGAGGATGAAGAAGGAGGAGGAGGAAGGCCTGCATCCCTAAAGATTGGCACATAGAGCCTTTCTGGAACTAGCCAAACAGAAAATGAGATAAATGTGCTTTGACTTGTCTAGGATTGCAAACATGGAAGGGAAGTGGAAGAATAGACAAAGCCACCCCAAATGTCCCTTTGGTCTCCTCCCCCAGGCCAGAGAAGAATGGGTCATAAACTCAGCTGTGTTTGCTTATTTGCTAGTTTGTTTATCGTGTTAGAAGCAAATTGAGAATACAGTTATAATGTATTTTAAAAAACACAAACAAAGTTAAAAACTTTTATATTAAATGTCCTTTGACCAGAAGCTGGCCACTTGGAGTGCCTCTGTAAGAGGGTCCTCCATTGTGCATGTGGCAGGGCTCAGACTACATTGTAGGAAGTGGTCTATGATTTACTCTTCTCCACACTCGCATGTCACGGACTTCATTTTATAGCTCCATTTCTTAAGATTGGCTCTGCAGACTGTTCAGCACCTTCCAAGTCACCCAGTCTTCTGTGTGCCAAATCTTTTAGATTTGATGGCTACTCATTGTAAAAAGGTGGCCCCAACTCCAAATTTCTCTGTATGTTAGGGATGCCTAACCCTCCAGGGGATTCAGACCTTATTTTCCAAATGCCCACACCTTACTTCCCATACCCACACCATGTTTGCTAGCCTATCTTCATGTTTCCAGTTTTAATATCTGCTGTACATGTTCTTCATTATTCCCTAAAAAGGAATGGTTGGAGAGATGAAAAGGACAGCAACTTTAACTGTTATTTTAACTATTATTTTCGCATGGGCTTTTTTGGCTACAAACCTACTTTTTTAAATGCAGTCCTCAACCATGCAGTACTATGTTTCAAGAAGAAGATTTATATCTGTAAAAGCCCATGCTATTAAAGGTTGGTCACCTTTCTTTTTCTCCTGCTCCCTCCCTATTTTTGGTGCAAGATACTGACTCGGCTACTTCTTTGAAAGCATAGCTACTCAAATCGCATGGGATAACTAGGCCTTAAATTTGTAAATATGTCTCTCTAAAACACACTTCAAACTGCATTGAGAGAGTTGCACTCTTTGTACATTCTGAACATATCACCTCAAAACCAGCTGGGATCTATAGCTTCCCCAATTATGATTTTGTTTGCAGAGAAAATTTCACTTTGCTCCAGATATGATATGACAAATGCCTCCACAAATTGTGGAAGACACAACTGTGTGGCAGCCTCGTATTTAACCATTTTTCTGCCTTCACAGAAAACCCCATGAATTGTAGTCTCATGAGGGCTGAGCCAGGCAAATTAGCAAAGCTCTCAGCAACGGGACAAATCCTTCTGGAACATGGCCATACAGCCTGGAAAACTCACAGCAACCCAGTGAATCTGGCCATAAAAGCCTTCAACAACACAGTGACAAATGTTATTTGCAGTTATTTACAGTTACCAATAATTATAAGAGAGAAGCAAGTTTGTAGCATACATATATCATAACAAGCAATAAAGAAAGCTGAATGCTACTTTAAAAGTTCAGTCGTGGCTTATTGTGGATATTCCTGACAAATCCTTGATCCGAACATCAATCCATGAACACAGACATCAGTTTGACCCAAGTTAATACTCTATATAACTTGTCTATTGAGATAGTTCACCATTTTGAAAGATGAACTCGAGTTGCTTGGGTCAACTTGTTACCATGTGACATCTCTGGTGACCAAATGTGGCTTCCTAAAATTACTACCCCTTTCTGGATCTTGGTCACCTCATCTTTATCATAACCAGTGAGAACAGTATTATCGTCAAGTCCCTGATGCCATGTACTCCTATGGTACAGCCAAAGGACCCTTACAGAGGAATTCAGGGATTATTTATTTATTTTATTTATTTGGGGCTTTTGTATCCCGTCCTTCTTGACCTCCAAAGAGGGAATCGGTACAGCTACTACTCAATGCCAACACAGAATAAAACATAGCATAAAATACAATTTGCGCAAGGAAAACAGTTATAAATATTCATTAAAACATTTGCCGGTTCAAATCGACATTCTAAACAGTCCATTGTAGTCCATTAAAAGCATTGTCTTTCCCAGCCAGTCAGTCTACTCTGCGAGCACTTGATCCCACATCCAGGATTTGAGTTTCTTCCAGAAGGTCAGGAGTGAGGGGCGGATCTGATCTTATTAGGAAGGGAATTCCACAGCTGAGGGGCCACCACAGAGAAGGCCCTGTCTCTCGTCCCCACCAAACTGCGATGGTGGTGGGACCAAGAGCAGGGCCTCCCCAGATGATCTTATGGCCCTTGGTGGCTCATAGAGGTGGTTCATAAACATCTAAGAGAATTTGGCCACTTCTTGTGAATGGGAGTGGATGAAATTTAGCAAGACTGACTTGCTTTCATACTTAAATGTTTTTGGATTCTTTGGCAGGAGTCTTTGAGAAAAACATTGGAGGATACCCAGAAGGAGGCAAAAAGGATTGGAGAAGAAATTCAGAAACTGGAGCAACAAATAGCTGCTGTTAAGGTACAATCTGCAGGCACCCCCACCATGAGGCAGGTGCCTCCAATAAAAAAAAATCTCTCCGAATTGTCAGCATTCATCACAAAAACAATAGCTGCGGAATGAGCAAATGAGCTTTCCCCATCTTCTCCCTCACTTTTATCCTTTCAAGATGGAGGCCAGCCTATTTCTTTTTCTTGATGCATTATTATTATTATTAAACTTTATTTGTACCCCGCTAGCATCTCCCGAAGGACTCAATGCGGCTTACAAAGGCCAAGGCCTCAACACACAGTATAACAATACAAAACCTAAGGCAAATTAAAAACAATTAAAGCAATATAACAACAAGCGGTAAACAATACACTAAGACACAATAAAACTGGGCCGGGCCAGAGTAATGGGTACAGGATTAAAAGTGTTGATGTGACAGGTGGTATATAAGGCTTATAGGGCAAGTGCAGTGTGCAGTGTGCGGAAATCTTAGTTTTAATAAAGTGCTTATGGGACTTGGTATTGGAGGTTTTCTATTCTGGGAAAGCACATCGGAACAGCCAGGCCTTCAAGTTCTTTCTGAAGACTGCCAATGTAGGGGCCTGTCTAAGATCTTTGGGGAGGGAATGCATCATTTCCTCCAATACTGAAAAGAGCAAATGGTGACCTAAAAAGTGATGAGGGAAGCAGCTTCTCCATCTGTGGTAAGTACCTCTCACTCCTCTTCATTTCATTTTCCTTCTTTTTCATTCAGGATTCTTCACAGCAATTCAAATCAAAGGTTTTGCAAAAGTTTTGCCATATTATGGAAGCCCTAAAGGGATGCCAAAGAAAGGCAGTGGAGAGAATTGAAAGCGAGCAGGCTCTTGCGCTCGGCCAGTTGGAGGAGAGCTGGAATCGGCTGCAGCACCAGTTGGAAGTTCTTGCTGAACACGATAAGAAGGCCAAAGAGCTGCTCAGCTGTCCTGATAATGTCAAGTTTCTGGAGGTGTGTGATATATTCATGGTACCTGAGTACCTTAGTGGTAGCTAGTCTTGTTAGTTAAGAATACAGCATAAGAAAGGCTTTAGGTGAGTCAGGTGAAAGATCCATTGGTTTCAAAGTTCATTTCCCACAGTGGCCAACCAGGTTTTTTAATTTATTTTTCATGTCAGGAGTGATTTGAGAAACTGCAAGTCGCTTTTGGTGTGAGAGAATTGGCCACCTGCAAGGATGCTGTGGTCCCCCAAACCTTTGCAGCCATTTTGGCTGTCAATTAAGACCATGCAAAACATTAATTTGAAAACATATTTTAAAAACAGTACAACAAAACAGAAAAACCCAAAGTTGAAGGAATGGATGGAAGGGCAGTTGGCTGGTTTTCAGAGGACTTCCAGATACAGCTTGATGGTACCTAATTGAGTTATATCCTCAATGTTGATCCAAGGCCTAATCATCTACACAGCCACTGGTTGACACTGCACCCTCTTGTTCATGTTCCCCAGTCAATGATATACAGGGACATGCTGCCTTTAATGCTGGAGTAATACGATATCCATCATAAGTAGTAGACCCCAATTATTATCCTCAGTGAATTGTCTAAACACCCTCTACTACATCCATTTAAGTTGGAAATCACTATTACTTCTAGTCAGTGACATGTGGTTTGTGTAACAGAACTTATTTCACCTATCCTGAATCTCTCACCATTCAATTTCAGTTCATGAACCCAGACTAACAGAATCATAGAGTTGGAAGAGACCTCATGGGCCATCCAGTCCAACCCCCTGCCCACAAGCAGGAAAATCACATTCAAAACACCCCTGACAGATGGCCATCCAGCCTCTGCTTAAAAGCCTCCAAAGAAGAAGCCTCCACCCTTGATCATTTGTCTCCAAACCCTTGATCATTTTAGTGACCCCTTCTGGACACATTCCAGTTTGTCAACATCTCCCTTCAATTGTGGTGCCCAAAATTGGACACAGTATTCCAGGTGTGATCTGACCAAGGCAGAATAGAGGGGTCTTCCCTGGATCTAGACACTATACCTCTGTTTATGCAGGCCAAAATCCCAATGGCTTTTTTAGCTGCCGCATTACATTGTTACGTAGTTCCAAGGGGCAGAGTGTAACTATTATTCAAGGAACAGCAAAAATACTAATTTTGCCACTCCAAAAATGGGAGTGTGACTTGTACGCAGTGGCAACTATTATGCAATGAAGTACAGTATATCAAGAGTAAAAAGGATATCAGCTGATGTGATTCTTATTAGAGAACCAGGGTGGGAGGTTAAAGAGTCAGAGAAATCCACAAGGCCAGGAAGGAGATTTCTAGGATCTATTGTTACGTGCCGGTCAACCTTTGTGATTCTTTTTTTTTCATCCTCGTAGGAGCTGCCATACCTTCTTCCTCCTGGCAACTCAGAAAATCCTCCACCTCTTGAATTTGATTTGGCCACCAGTGTCCTCACCATCACTCAACTGCTCAATGAAGTCTTCAGGCTTTTGCAAGTAGCTGCCTCAGATCCCATTACTCCACCAGTGGCTGACACAAAAAGTACAGGTATATTTCAATTAAAGAAGTAGATGTTTTCCTAGGCATTATGTATTTGACTGGAAATTTGCCACCAGAGGCTGAAATAACAGGGATAGTCCCTACCTCACAAAAGTACAGCAATTTGACATATTTCAGCAGTCTTCTTGTTCAAAACTATATGCAGATATGAAATAAAACAACCAGATCAGGTGAGCCTTGCAGATGTAAACAAAAAACATTTTGAAATTTCTGGACACTACGCAAAGCTTTTTCCAGAAAAGCATCTAGGAGTGACTTTTTCTCTCACCAGACTTCATGCTGGGGGGAGCTAAGATGAGCAGTCTTATCTGATCTTTTCTCTTTTTCTTGTCCTTTGTACATGCTTAATGTTCTCAGTCAATTTGTTCTGTCATAGATTTGCGAATTGAAAGCGAAACAGAATAATGATCTGATTTACAATCCCATCCCCCTGCAGTGATACAGCAGGTTAAACTGCTAAGCTGCAGAACTTGCTGACCAGAAGGTTGGCAGTTCGAATCCATGGGACAGGGTGAGCTCCCGCTGTTAACCCCAGCTTCTGCCAACCTAGAAGTTCAAAAACATGCAAATGTGAGTAGATCAATAAGTACTGTTCCAGCTAGAAGGTAATGGCGCTCCATGCAGTCATGCTGGCCACATGACCTTAGAGGCCCAGACAACAGTGGCTCTTTGGCTTAGAAATGGAGATGAGCACCACTCCCCAGAGTCGGACATGACTAGATTTAATGTCAGGGGAAAGCTTTACCTTTACCTACCCACACCTCTGCATTGATCCATAAAGATTGGGCTTCCTCGTGGGGACATTTAAAAAAATCGTCCCAAACATTCTGCTAGAAAAATAAGGTTCATTTTGAAAGTAGTAACAAACCATGACTGGCTATTCCAAGTCCCCTCTCATTCTTCCTAACCTCCGTCTAGGAGATAAGCTTCCCTTCTAGTCTGCAGTGAGTACAGCAAACTTTAGTTTGTTCTGAAACCAGGCATTGAAACCACAAATGGACTCTTGGCTAAGAGCTTGCTATAAATATACAGAGATCTACAGAGATCGCAGTTTGACACAAGGGGATAGGAAGACAAACTATAGTGACTTGTGACAGGTCACCTAATGGGTTTTCATGGTTAAGAAAGGATTCAAACACTGTGCTCCAGAGTTGTAGTCTTAACACTGAAACCACTACAATCATGCATCAGATGAGAATTACAAAGCTGAAAATGATATGGAAACTAATTAAATGTTCTTACAACAGAGATGATGTTTTGAAAGAGCAGGTAATCATAACTCATCTTGTTTCAAACCATAAGTAATTATTCCTTGGGAACATGTACATATCTGTTTCTTATGACATTAAAATGGAACCATGTGGAATTATTTTAGCTACACTTCTCTCTAAAATACTTTAAATTAAACAGAAGCTCTTTGGATTTTTATGTGACTCTTGTTGCTTCCCCCTTCAGAAATTCCTTCTCCCTCATGACCGAAATCTATAAGGATGCTTTGGTCCCCATATATGGCATCTAGAAGCCACTCCTGAATTGTCTATTCTTTTTGGGTTATTGACTTGTTTACTCTTTGGAAATTAAGTGAAAGTTTTGTTCTTTTTTCATTCCCAACTTGCAGTCTCAATGGAGCCAAAGATAATTGAGAAGAAAGTTGGACTACGTCTTCCAGACAACGAGTTGAGAATGTGCCTTTTGAAATGTAAGAAACTCGCTGGGCTGCACATAGCTGCCAATTCACCCATGTTTACAAATATCTTTTCATTAGTGCCTCTCTTTTTTCCCCATAAGCCGTTCCTTTCAGTCCTCAAAACCAAAAATTACTATTTCATTTTTCTGATTTCTGCAATAAGTCCATAACGGGTTTCCAGTCCTGGAGATGGACCAGTCACTAATCTAATTTCTGCTAAATCAGTAGGACCCCTCCCACACAGTTGAATAAAATCTCACATTTTCTGCTTTGATCTGGAATATATGGCAATGTGGACTCAGATAACATTCTCTCCTGACGTTTCACCCACATCTATGGCAGGCATCCTCAGAGGTTGTGAGGTCTGTTGTAAACTAGGCAAGTGAGGTTTATATATCTGTGGAATAAGGTCCAGGGTGGGAGAAAGAACTCTTGTCTGTTGGAGGGAAGTGTGAATGTTGCCTCCAACAGATACAAGTTCTTTCTTCCACCCTGGACATTCCGCAGATATATAAACCTCCCTTGCTTAGTTTCCAATATACGTCACAACCTCTGAGGATGCCAACCATATATGTTGGCAAAACGTCAGGAGAGAATGCTTCTGGAACATGACCATACAGCCTAGAAAACTCACAGCAACCCAGTGATTCCGACCATGAAAGCCTTCGACAACACATCAAATATTTCATCAAAGAGGCCTCCATTTTCAGTGAGAATTTGAGCTGCAGAGGTGACACAATAGCATTGTAGCCTCAGGCCTTGTGAATCACGATTCTATCCAGCCATAGCACATTCCTGTTTAGTGAACTTGCTGCATGAAATAGATCTCAGGGAAAGAGATGAATCGGTAAAGAATAGGATGAATTTCCCCCCTCTTTGTTCTGACATTCTTGCCATTCCCATAGATCAGCAGAACCTGACTTTTGATCCAAGCACAGCAAACAAATACCTGCGGTTGTCTGATCTCGACCGGAAGGCTGCACATCCTCAAGACTTTCAAAAAATGCCAAATGAACCTCAGAGGTTTGAGCCTTGGCAGGTGATGTGTGTCCAGAAATTCAGCCAAGGCAGTAACTACTGGGAAGTCAAGATATCGGGGCAGTCCGCCATTGTTGGCGTCGCTTATGAAAGAATCTCGAGGAAGAAATGGGGCAGGCAAAACTTCACTATTGGGCAGGACCAGCTCTCCTGGGGCCTGCATGTCCAAGAAGACTGCTATGTGGCTTGGCACAACGGTGAACCTACTAAGATCAAAGAGCCTTTGTGCAAGTTCATTGGCATGTCTTTGAACTGTGACCACGGGGTCCTGAGCTTTTACGGTGTAGATGACAACATGAAGCCCTTGCACTCATTTGACACCATCTTTTCAGACCCACTTGTCCCAATTTTTTGGCTGTGTGAAGGCACAACTATCACCCTTTGCCAAAAGGCAGAAGCCCAAGGCCAAAATGATGGGATGCCTGCAGACATACAAACAACTCTCACCACTGTGGCGAAACAAGGAGATAAGCAGACTGCTACAAAACAGTGATAGTGATTCTTTGTAGCCTTCAAGATGCCCAGGTTTGTAGTGGTCTGTGTGTTTTTCTCCTTTGTAAGATCATCCCCTGAGACATTACCAATTTCTGTCTCTTGCAACTAAAGTTGTAACTAACATGCAACTTTGAGAGTACTTACTAATCACTAAGAAACTAGACATAGAAGTTGGCCTATCTTAGCCATCTGTTTCTTGATGTAACATCCTGGGGAAAATGTGGCATTCTAAAATTCTTACCTTATTTTAAGAAACTCAGCAGTGAAAGTGGATCAGGTAAGTGATTACAGGAAGCCTCCAACTTACAAACATCTTACATATGACTCCTAGTTACGAACGTATCTGTGGATGTGGGCGGGGGGGGGGGGAGGTACTAGGTCGACCAGCCAGCATCGCATGTTGGGTCTTTTGCAGTGTATGTTGTGGCTCAGCCAGATGAAGAGGAGGGGTTTGGAGGTTCAGGGCCTGATGGTTCTGCAGGTGAGCAAACAGACGTTGTTTTAGAGCAAGATGGTTCTGCAGCTGAGGGAATGGAATGGGTTTTGGAGCAAGATGCTGTTGCTGAGGCAAAGTGTGAGAGTGAAACTGTTTTGGAAGCCAACAGGCAGGGAGGGGAGGATAACATTAGTTCATCTGAGGAAGTAGCTGGGCTTAGAGATACCAGGCTGCTTCTGAGGGGACAGAGATTCAGGTGCAGAAAAACCCATGAGAAAGAGAGGCAGAAGCAGGCCTCTCAAGGTCAAAGGAATGTGTTCATGTTTTGCAGTCCTTAAATTAGTGAGAGCTGTTACGATTTTAGATCAAGCAACGTCACTACTGGAGTGAGGAACTCCTGTCTTGTTCTTGGTTCATGCCTTAGTTCAAGACCCAAGCTTCGTGATCACGTTTTGCTTCTTGTTTTATGGGTTTACCTTTGGGTTCATGCCCATCTTCTGCTCTTGGTTTCCTGGATTAATGTTCATGTTTTAACCATTGTTTTCTGGATTTACCTGCTTTTTGGACTTGCTTCCTTTATTAACACTTGGATTTTTACCCTTCTATTTGCTTAAGGTGCCTTTGGTCCTTTTTATATGTGTTTTATCAATAAACTGTTTATTGCCATGTTTGGTTCCTTGATGAGTGCTGTGAGCAAGGTGAACTCCTGCTGAGGTGCAACAGTGTAAGAGATGTAGTTTTAGAAACTGCTCTCCTTCCCAATTTCTCGTGTATGAGACTAGAAGATAAGACCGGTGTTTGGCAGTCACCCAGCACTTAAGACCTTGAGACATAGCTAGCTACCCTTCAATTGTTTACTTGCTTTGTATGTGAGCCCATAGAAATACAATAAGTGAAAGTGGGCCAGTAGTGAGAAAAGACAAAACTTTATAACCAATTAGAAATGTACTGTTTCGATCTGCTTCACCTCCCAGAAATCCTAACAGCTGGTAAGCTGACTGGGATTTCTGGGAGTTGTAGGCCAAAACACCCAAGTACCTACCGGTTGAGAAGCACTAGCTTCTAATCTAAGAAATGTTTAAAACCCATAAGAGGGTCTCTCCCAGGCTTATATTCAGGAGGGTGACTTTAATAATAAATGGGTACATCTAATATGAAATCAAACTGGGATTGTGGCACAGCTGGCTGAGTGTCAGCTGCATTAAGATCACTCTGACCAAAAGGTCATGAGTTCGAAGCCGGCCCGGGTTGGAGTGGGCTTCCAACTAATTGTGTAGCCTGTTGTTGACCTTTGCAACCCGAAAGACAGTTGCATCTGTCAAGTAGGAAAATTAGGTACCACCTTGTGTGGGGAGGCTAAATTAACTAATTTACGAGGCCATAAAAAAGACTCCAGCAAAGCACTCCAGCAAAAGAATGCGGGGAATGCGGAAGTACTTCATCAGTGTCGCAGATGGACGATGAAAGCGACAGCTCCCCTGGCGGCCAGAAAAAGTTAAATAGCCTCTGTGTATGTCTGTATACGTTGAATGTCAAATTGGCATTGAATGTTTGCCATATATGTGTACATTGTAATCCGCCTTGAAAGCAGCAGTGCCGGGGCAGCAGCGGCAACAACACGACGTTCAGCCTGCAAAGGCTGAATGGCCACCTGATAGGAGTGCCTTGATTGTGCTTCTCCCTTATGGCAGGAGGTTGGATATACATCCTGCATATCAGAGATTTACATAATGATTCATAACAGTAGAAAAATTACAGTTATAAAGAAGCAACAAAAATAGTGTTATGGTTGGGGGTCACCACAACATGAGAAACTGTATTAAGGGATCATGGCATTAGGAAGGTTGAGAACCACTGTACTACTGGCTGTTAGGTATTGTGGGAGCTGAAGTCCAAAACACAAGGAGGGCCCAAGCTGGCCCATGCCTGCTTTAAAGAAAAGCAATGACATTTAATTCAATTGTAATGTTTCACATATTTGTAGATTTGAAATTGCATTGAAATGTAAGCTGCTTTGGCCCCTTCCACACAGCTGTATAAAATCCACACTTAACTGGTTTATATGGCAGTGTGGACTCTGATAATGCAGTTCAAAGAAGATATTGTGGATTATCTGCCTTGATATTCTGGGTTATATGGCTGTTTGGAAGGGCCCTTTCAGAGCCCTATATCCCAGGATTTGATCCTAGGTTTTCTGTTTATCCCAGATTATCTGGCAGTGCAGACTCAAATAATCCAGTTTAAAGCAGAAAACCTGAGATCAGATCCTGGGATATAGGGCCTGTCTGGAAGGGCCCACAGTCTCCTTGTGAAGGCAAAAAGTGGTGTATAAATAAACATAATAATAATATTGTAGAACAGAAATCTGTTCCTGGTTTGAAATTGTTATTTTCTGTTTAATTGTGCAGCTCTTACTTTGAAAGTAGTAGTTCTCCTCCAGAAACATTGTGTGGCTGCCACAAACTATGATGACAAGAGGTTATGGGAATTCAGCTGACAGGCTGATCAGTAAGCATATTCATGGGTTCCCTGCTGTTCTAGTAAACCTGTTACTACAACATGCTTGAAGTCAACATTTCATTTATTTGTAATTTGAAAGAAATGTTTCACAATATATAAAATAAATGTATTGTCGAAGGCTTTCATGGCTGGAATGACTAGGTTGTTGTAGGTTTTTGTAGGGCTATATGGCCATGTTCTAGAGCAGGTCCCCCCTAGGGGTGAGAAGGGCGGGGTAGAAATGACAGAAATAAATAAATAGATGCGGCCCTCCAGGGTCATTTACCCAGCCCTTGCTCAGGGTCAACCTACGTCTGAAACGCCTTGAAAGCATGGAACAACAACAACAATCCTATCTCATCAGCCAAAAGCAAGGCCCACATTTCCCATTGAAATACGAATAAGTTTATATTTGTTAACATTGTTCCTCATTTTAATTATTGAATTGTTTTAAAGTGTTTTTTACACTACAAATAAGATATGTGCAGCGTGCATAGGAATTCATTCATTTTTTCCCCAATTATAATCCTGCCCTCCAACAGTTTGAGGGACTGTAACCTGGCCCTCTGTTTAAAAAGTTTGTGGACCCCTGTTCTAGAGGCATTCTCTCCTGACGTTTCGCCTGCATCTATGGCAGGCATCCTCAGAGGTAGTGAGGTCTGTTGGAACTAGGAAAAGGGGTTTATATATCTGTGGAAAGACCAGGGTGGGACAAAGGACTCTAAATGTTTCACAATATTCCTGTGTAAACTATAGTCCAGCCCTCCAACAGTCTGAGGGACAGTGAACTGGTCCCCTTTTCAAAAGGTTTGAGGACCCCTGGAGTAGACCAACTAAGATTGGCCTCTGGGGGGATTTTAAGTCCACCCAAAAACTAATCCAAAGGCCTATACACACGGGGAACTAAAGCAGAGGAGAGGAAAAGGCAGAGCTATGACTTTATAGAGGTGTTTTTGTCCTCTTGCCTTTTATCACATCAAGCCACGGGGTGCGGTAGCTTTCCACGCAGCCTTCAGGTTAGTAGACGACTCCAGCCCTTCGAGGAAAATGTCAGATTTTTTCCTACCGGAGTCTTCAAATGCGCAGGAGATTCCGAGATTTAAACGAGCAAAAATGTGCTTTTGGAAACGATCGCTAGAGGGCGCTCGTCCGCGGAAACTTAACGGAGTTCCTGATGTTTCCGCAACTCCAGACACCAGATGCGCTTTTCTCTGTGTGTCAACTTCGGCCCTCCGGGTGTTTTGAACTCCAACTCTCACAATTCCTAACAGCCTACCGGCTGTTAGGAATTGTGAGAGTTGAAGTCCAAAACACCCGGAGGGAGAGCCGAAGTAAGTTTGCCCAAGCCTGGCTGTGGCAGAGGCAGCCTGGGATTCCTGCGGGCGGGAAGGCGGAGGGGCGCGCGGGAGGCCCCGCCCCTCCCCTCTCCTCCCCTCCGGAGGGGATCCGCCCCTTTGGCCGAGGGCTCCTGCCCGCTTGCCTTCCCTCCGCCTGGTCCTCGATGGCGGATGGCTCCCCGTCCCCGGCGGCGGCGGCGGCGGCGGAGGGCCCCTTCGTGTGCCCGATCTGCCTGGACGCCCTGAAGGAGCCGGTGACGGTCCCGTGCGGGCACAACTTCTGCCTGGGCTGCCTGGGCGCGCACCGGGCGGGGCAAGGGTCGGCCTCGCGCTGCCCACTCTGCCAGGAGCCCTTCCCGCCGGGCCTGCAGCTCCGCAAGAACCACGCGCTGGCCGAGCTGCTCCTCCACCTCCGCCGCCCCCCCGCCCTGGACCCCGCGGAGGAGGAGGAGGCGAGCGTGGCGGGCTCCCCCCGTTCTCCTCCTCCTCCTCCTCCTCCTGCGGGGGTGCTGTGCGACTTCTGCGCGGAGGAGGAGGGCCGGGCGGCGGCGGCGCAGTCGTGCCTGGTGTGCCTGGCCTCCTTCTGCGCGGCCCACCTGCAGCCCCACCTGCGCAGCCCGGCCTTCCAGGGACACCGCCTGGTGGACCCCGCGCCGCGCCTCGAGGACCGGCTCTGCAAGCTGCACCTGCGCCCCCTCGAGGCCTTCTGCCGCAACGACGGTGCCTGCCTCTGCCTCCTCTGCAAGGCCGACCCCCAGCACCGCGGGCACCACGCCGTCGCCCTCGAGGACGAGATCCAGCGCGCCCAGGTGAAGGCAAAGAAGGAGCGGGCCAAGCAGGGCCTCTCTCTTATCAAGCGGGCAGGAGCAAACATTCCGGCCTCCCTCCAGCCCTTCCTTAGGCTGTTCGGAATGGTGGGAGTTGAAGTCCAAAACACCTGGAGGGAAGACCCAAGGGTGATAGTATGATAGCTGGGTCCGGAAGCTCCGAGCGTTACGGAGATGCCGGCATCGCTCCTTCGGGAGCGCAGTTTCCGCAAGAGAGACTTCGCTCATGTAAGCCAGGCCGGAGACAGAGAATAGAGAAGGAATGGAAGAGTTCTTGCATGGTGAAACCCTTACCCTAACCCTGAACCCTACTATAACCCTAACCCAAACCCTAAACCTTACCCAAAACTTTACGCTAACCCAAACTCTAAACCTTACCCTTACCCTGAACACTACCATAAGCCTAAACCTAACCCCTTACCCAAACCCTAAATCTTACCCAAAACCTTAAGCTAACCCAAACCCTAAACCTTGCCCTAACCCTTACCCTAAGCATCCCCTCCTTTCTATCCTTCCTTCGCTCTCCCTGCTCTCACTCCACCCCCTCTCTTCCCTTATTCACAGCCACCTTTGCAGCATCTCCGTAAGGCTCGTGGACCCAGCTATCATACTATCACCCTCTCTCTTATTAAGCGGGCAAGGGCAAACATTCCTGCCTCCCTCCAGCCCTTCCTTAGGCTGTTTGGAATGGTGGGAGTTGAAGTCCAAAACACCTGGAGGGAAGACCCAAGGGTGATAGTATGACAGCTGGGTCCAGAAGCTCCAAGCAGTATGCACATTCCGCAACGGCAGTTGTAAATAAGGAAAGGGACCAGGTGAGGGCAGAAGAATAGAAAGGAAGGGAGGGTTAGGATAAGGTTTAGGGTTAGGATTAGGGTAAGGTTTAGGGTTTGGGTTTGGGTTTTACCATTAAAGAACTCTTACATTCCTTCTATAATATCGCGTTGCGTGAACAGCGCTCCCATAGGAGCGAAGCAGAAACAGCATAACGCTCCTAGCTTCCAGACCCAGCTATCATACTATTACCCACACTTAGTTTGCCTGTGCCACTATAAAGGAAAAGGTGATAGTATGATAGCTGGGTCCAGAAGCTCTGAGTGTTACGGAGATGCCACAAAGGTGGCTGTGAATAAGGGAAGAGAGGGGGCGGAGGGAGAGCGAAGGAAGGATAGAAAGGAGGGGACGCTTAGGGTAAGGGTTAGCTTAGGGTAAGGGTTAGGGGTTACGGTTAGGGTACGGTTTAGGGTTTGGGTTAGCATAGGGTTTGGGTTAGGGGTTAGACTTAGGCTTACGGTTAGGGTTCAGGGTTAGGGTTTCACCATGAAAGAACCCTTACATTCCTTCTATATTATCTGTCTCCAGCTTGGCTTACATGAGCTAATTCTCTCTTGTGCAAACAGTGCTCCTGAAGGAGCGATGCAGCATCTCCGTAATGCTCGGAGCTTCCGGATCCAGCTATCATACTATTACCAAGGAAATAACCTGTTACCCAGTTCTGACAGTCATTTTAGTGGATTGCTGTGAGTTTTCCAGGCTGTATGGCCATGTTCCAGAAGCATTCTCTCATGACGTTTTGCCCACATCTATGGCAAGCATCCTGAGTAGATCAATAGTGCATTTTGGCATTTCTAGGGCCTGCAGTATGTGACCCCAGGTTGGTTGATCTATAAAATTGATATAAACATTCAAATTTTGCAGCCAACAAATCAGTGTTTGTAAAGGCTCACTCAACAGGCTGGTTTTTCTTTCTAAGGAGTTACAGCTGCAAAGCCCACTGCATATTCTTGCTAACTGTTTTGTGTCAATGGGTGGTGTTCAGGAACTTAGTGCTGTTAGCCAATCTTTCATGATCCCAACACTGTGCAAAGGGGACTCCATTGAGGGCTGGAGCCCAAAGTTTAAGAAGCAGTGTTTTGGTTGGCCAGGTTTCTGATAGTCGAACTGCAAAACTGCTGGAGGGCCAAAGTTTGGGAATCACTGGTCTATACTGTAGAAGGTCGTGTAAAACTACAGCTTCTGTGATTCCATAGCATTGAGCCATGGCAGTTGAAGTGAAGTCAGTCAAGCTGCATTCATCCTATAAGGTTGAGTCTACATCGTAGAATGAATGCAGCTTGGCCCCAGTGGTGCAGTGGGTTAAACCGCTAAGCTGCAGAACTTGCTGATCAGAAGGTCGGCAGTTCAAATCCGTGGGATGGGTTGAGCTCCCACTGTTAACCCCAGCTTCTGCTAACCTAGCAGTTTGAAAACATGGAAGTGTGGCTAAATCAATAGGTACCGCTCCGGCAGGAAGGTAATGGCACTCCATGTAGTCATTCTGGCCACATGACCTTGGAGGTGTCTACGGACAACATCGGCTCTTCGGCTTAGAAATGGAGATGAGCACCAACTCCAGGAGTTGGACACGACTAGACTTAATGTCAAGGGGAAACCTTTACCTCTACACTGTTAGATGTTCCCAAAGCATCCTCCCCAAATGCCTGGCATTTCCTATTCTAGAAGCAGCCAGGAAGAAATTTGGAGCTTTGCACATTTATGGTCAGGTTCACAGTTTTCTGGCTAGAATGCAACATTATATTTCATAAATACTTGTTTACATTCTAGCCTGCTCCCACAACTTTGTATCTGTGTTTCAACACAAGTGGTTTTAACATTATTCTGTCCCTGCATCTGGAGAAATAGATTGCGATCCATGAAAACTCATGCTAAAATTCATTAACTGGCAGAGTGATGCTGGACCCCCCCCCCCTCCTTCTCCCTGTTATTCAGGACTTAGAAATGTTACCTCTGTTGGAATTTGGAAGTTGCAGTTCAAAGAGTAACTTTTCCAAGCTTGGGAGGAATTACATGCCTGCAACTGGAGTCTGAGAATGAATCAGGGCTTTGTGGCAGAGCTGTGGGCCAAATCCATGACTTAGAGCGCTGAGTTTCAAATGGGTGGAGGAGCCTGCAAAAGTGATTATAGCAAAAGTCAGTCTTGACTACTCAGAAACAAGTTCTGATGAAATCAGTGAGGCTGATTTCCTGACAAGATTGTGAGCAGTGCTGGGAAAAGGGATAGTATTGCTCCCCCCCCCCTTTACACTTTCTCCATAGAAGCCAACAGGGGACAATATGTTGTTGTTGTTGGGTACCTTCAAGTTGTTTTCCCACTCATAGCAACCTTAAGAAAACTCTGTTACAGAGTTCTCTTGGCAAGAGTTTTCAGAGGGGGCTTCCCTTCTCTGAAGTTGGGAGAGTGTAACTTGCTTAAAGCAAAGTTACACTCTTTTCTTTCACAGTTTGAGTTCTCTTGTGCTGATTTGGGGGTCAGTTGAGAGATGCAGTTACATATTTTTTGCATCACTCATGGTCCTGCAGTCTTGGGGAAAACACATGCCTAAGATGGACTGGAAAGTTAAAGGTGTTGAGAAGTACATACAGTATTGGATCTGGGGAGTTCCAGATGCAGGCGAAAAAAAAATGAGTAAGAGGTCTAAATATACAGATACAAAACTGAGGAAGGAGCATAACTTTGTGGCCACTGGCCATGCAGGCTATAGTCCCAAAAAAAGTAACTTTCTAAAAGCGGCAGTCTAAAAAAAGTAACTTCCCCAAGATTTTCATAGAAAGTCCCAGGTTTTTATCTCTGATATCTTGGTAAAGGGGAGCCAGTTTAGTGCATTAGTCTGAGTGTTGGATTTTGGCCCTAGCTTAGCTACTGAAACATACCGGGTGAACCTGGACAAGTCATATTTTCTCAGCTTCAGAGGATGGTAATAGTAATCTGAAAAAATCTTGCCATGCAAAACCTAGGACAAGGGTTGTTCTAAGTCAGAGTTGATTGAAATAAATCTCTAGTCAGACTTGGCCACAGTAGTTCACACTCTGGTTACATCCTGAATAGAGTACTGCAACACACTCTACATGGGGTTGCCTTTGAAGACTGTTCGGAAACTTCAAGTGGTCCAACAAGCGGCAGCCAGATTGCTCACCGGAGCGGGGTACAGGGAGCACACATCTCCCTTGTTACGCCAGCTCCCCTGTCTGCCAGTTTGCTACTAAGCACAATTCAAATTGCCAGCTTTAGCCTATAAAGCCCCAAACGGTTGCAGCCCAACTTACCTGTCTGAACACATCTCCCCCTATGAACCATCTTGGACATTAAGATCGTCTGGGGAGGCCTTGCTCTTGGTACCACCTCCTTCACAGGCACGACCTGTGGGGACGAGAGACAGGGCTTTCTCAGTGGTGGCCCCTTGGCTGAGGAATCTTTCCCCGGTGATATTAGATCAAGCTTTCGGAGAATCATTGTAGTGCAATAGATGGATATGGAATGATGTGCAATGCCTACTGGAATGGCCCAGATTACGATTATGGATAGCATGGTTTTAATAGTAATGTAATGTTTTTATATGCTTTAATGTGTTTTAAATTCAATTTAAATGCTTATTTTAATTGTACAGTTGTCTATGTGTAAAGCCGTCATGAGCCCCCTTCAAGGGTTGAGAAGGGCAGGGTATAAAAATGGTAAATAAATAAAATGACATATCTTGAAGTTCTGAATTAGTGACAATCAGAACAGCAGCATTCTTCCTGGGTCATGGGATAATGGGGTGCACAACAAGGGAAAAACAAGGGCCTTTGCAGAAGTATGGTTGGAAATATAGATTGGAAGTGGAAAATCTGGATATGAGGGACCAGGAGAGTGGTTTAGGCACAACATGTAGCTAGTGTGGCTGGAAACAATCTTTGCAGAGAAGGAGCCCTGAACTGAGGTGCCCTAGGAATGCTCTGCCAAGGAATTTGTAGGACTGGGCTGGGATTGTGGAACCATGTGTAGATAGCTGGATTATGTGTACTGTGAACAGTGCCACCATTGAATGTAGGGGTAGTAACTATCTCATCTTAAGTCCACATGGGATGCCTTCTTAAGGCAGGAAGTCTCAACAAATGTGTGATGAGTTAGAAATGCAAGTGCAACTTATCTTGAGAGGGCACTTCAATAGTAAAATGAAAATAAACCAGATGTACATTCACTCAACGGCCAACGAATGAATATGTTCCAGCACTTGATTAGTGTGGAAGATCAATTGGCATATTTCTTTCATTCTAAGATATCATCAATTGTAAGACACACGCTAATTGCAGTACCATCAACAGACAACACAGTTTGTGGCTGCCACAAACTGTTGAATTGGTTGAGGCTTTTTGAGATATACATTGAAAAGCTATAGCAAAGTGTGCTGCAGGATGTCCCATCAAAACAAAGTTTTTGCAGTTTATGAAACCTTTTCCATGTTTTTATGATAGAACCAATTAGAAAATGGCATGTATAACTCAGGAACAAAAACTGTGTTACATAGTGTAAGAAATACAGTATTGTGGGAACCTTACAGAAGTGTCTGAAATAGCCATGTTGACTTCCCGAAATCCTGCTACTGGCTCATCAAATTTGTCATTTTTGAGCTGCCCCTCCTTTAAAATAATCAGAAAATTCTTTGCAAGACTTTGTACTGCTGTTACAGAGGAAGTTTCTGTAATTGGACCAGTCCAAAGGCAGACAGAAAGCGATTCCTTTCTTCCCAAATTATGTCAGTAAGGATAAGTTGCAGGGGAGCCGAAAATGATATGGGGTGACCCGTTGGCTCCAGAGCATGCCTGTCCTCAGTCTAAAACTCAGTATCCAGCTATTTTGAGTTGGCACTTTATCGCTGTTAAAGGCCCCAAACACTTGCTGAGTCTGCTGTGTATGTTACCAAGGTATATGAGGCATTCTTTTTACATTTCTGTTATAGATGGATATTATGAATAAAATATTACACATTAAAAGACAGAATTTTAAAATACAATTATTGTAAAAATAGTGTAGGCAAGAAAATTCATTAAAAGGGAAAGTAGACACAGTTTCGGTTACATATTTTTTAATTACAAAACATGATGTAATATGTGAAACCTGGCATTGCAGTTTAGCTCTTGAATGACACGTAGGGTTGCCAGAGTGAAAATCAAAGAAGGCTTCTATACCTTTCAGTCTGGGAATCCTAAAGATCCTAGATTTAACAGTGTTTATACACTTCAATTATTTATTTTGAAGACAAGTGGAAGAAATTCACACGCTCAGGCAAAAGTGACTGAATGCTGAGATGTCCAGTGATATACGGGCATGAGTACATTATCCCTAAGCATAGTTTTGAGGGGGTCTTCTTCCTCATTTAATCTTTCTGGATTGGCAGAATAGAGGATGAACTTTTTTTAAAAGAAAAGGAGGTGAATCCTATTTGAGGTGTTTAACCAGAGCAGAAGTTGTTTGGAAGAGATGTGAAGAGCTGATTGGTGTCAGGGTTGCAGGGGACGAGGAGCAGGATGGAGGAGTCTTGCAAATTGCTTTCTATTGCAAATTGAAAGCTTTCACATTTCTATTCTGAATAGAAAGTGTTGTTTTCTTTTTAAAATTGGAATGTTTTGTAATTTCTCCATACTGCTGCCTGTAGTTGTGCAAAATTATAATTATGTCATTTGCTGTTTTCTATACATACTACAGATACTGTTCTGTTTATCTAACTCCGAATGTGCTAACCAGGGGAAAAAGGGGGGATTTATGTTCCAGAACCATCAACAAGATGTTTCCAATGTAAAGACAAACATTTAGCTGAACTTTTGTCTGTTTTGGCTGCCAAAGTACACACATGAAAACAATCTGCTGCCTCTGGATTTGGGAAGGAGGCAAAAACAAAAGTGTGGGGTGGGGAAAGAGTGAGATGAATTCCATCTGGTGTTAACAAGGCCTGTCCAGTTTCTGAACGGAGAGCCTTGGCTTCGGTGGGTGCTGCACGAGGGGCTCATTTCTTCCCCTTGCAGCCCTTTCCCACAGTGGCTCAGAGCGGCTCCTTTATTTCCTTTGGCTCCGGTCCCAGGTTCCGCTCCTTGCTCTGTTAGTCTTTTGTGTTCCATTGAGGACCAGGCTTTTTTCCATCACTCCCCTTCCCAAATGGCACTGACTCACCTTCTGCATTTTCACCCACTCATTTTTAATTGAGCTGTCAGTTTCGGTTTAGCTCATCCTAAGGTTAGTGAGTGACTTGGAAAACCCCTGTCTCCAGAAAATGCATTGGCTATGTGCTCTCTTTGGCCAATGGCCAAACTAGGAAAGGCTTATAAATAGTGCTTGAACAATCAGCGTTAATGGAGCAAGACAGGGATGGGGTGTAGGGAATTGGTTTCCACACCAGGATCTGGTCTGCCCCACCCCTGCTGTAAAGGCAAAAGGGAGAGGGAAACGGAGTTGGTGATATCTATCACATGTGGTCAGGGGACAGCTAAGCAAAGTTGTGGCAAGGGAGGGATTTAATAGTGATTAAAACAAGATGGAGTTTGACAACATTTGGAAGGATGTTTGAAAGGGAGCTGATTGAAACATATGATATCTTCTCCAGATATTCAGAGTTAATATGCTTCCAAGAGAGGCCTGTGGCGGAAGCATCCTTGTGGCATCTAGGGAATCTTCAGTTCCATACGCAATGTCAGTTTGATTGGCATTGCCTCCTTAGAGCCCCATGTTGATTTATTTGTACTCTGTTATCCAAGTATATAGCCCAAAGCTCTGGAAAGTTAATGCCAGACAGAACTGACACTACAAAATTGGATGGACCAAGCATTTGGATGAGTGGGATATAAAGCAAGGATGGGAAATGTGTAGCTCTCTATATGTTACTAGCCTGCAGCTCCCTAGCATCCCTCACCACTGGCTTTGCAACCAGGATTGCATTCAGTAATATCTGGAGGAAGAGCAGTGCTTAGTAACCTGGGCACTGTGTCTTCTTTCCTTCTGCCAAACAGCCATAAATAGTTTCTCTTAGGAAGACAGAGCACCCTGTAGCTGATGAATGGAAAGGAACACATCTATTCATTACTTCTTCCCAGGAATAGTATGTTATCACTCCTGTTGGAAGGCCTTCCTGTGTGGCAAAAATAGATTATTTTTGGCTGTGTATCAAGGATTACTACATCTGGAAAAGTTAAAGGCATTTCATGTATATGTTCCATTATTTTAGGGTGGGAATCATGAAGTCCTCCAGATGTTGTTGGACTGCAGCTCCCAGCAGCCCTAGCCAGCGTAGCCAATGGTAAGGAATGCTGGGAACTGCAGCCCAATTTCACATGGAGGACCACCTCTGACTTATTTTCATAGCAGTTTGAAACACCTTTTGTGATGTGTGTGCACATTCTTGGAAATAGTAGAAAGTTGTTTTCTTTTGATTTCTGGCAACCCTAAATCGATCATGGGGTTTTCTTGGCAGATTTTCTTCAGAGTAGGACACACTCTCAGCCCTCTAATGCTGAGAGTGTGTGACTTGCCTGAGATCACCCAGTGGGTTTTCACAGCCTAGCAATAATTCGAACCCTGGTCTCCTGGTGTCCTAGTCCAACATTCAAACCATTAGACCAGGAGGTACATTTCTGAATACTGCAGTTTTGTGGCCCTATATAAAAAGATCTACACACATTGCCTTGAGCTCATGAAAAGCTGAATGCAAGTATTACTAAATATTTTTCTGAGTCTGCCGCCATATAGATGTGACCATTCCAGCCACTCCCTCATTAATGCTATTATTGCTATTAACTTATCAACTTTATTAATACTCTGCTCTTTTGCCAAAATGGGGGCTCAAGGTGGCTTCATCACTCAGTTGCTTCTTTTAGGTCTGTTGAGTGCTAGGAAGAAACTATTTTATTTTAAGCATGTGCGTTAGCAATTAGAAATACACATTCCCTACATTGGGAAAAGGAGTGGCTCCTTTCTGTTACCAAAATCTGTCATTTTATTATATGCTCTGGATTGCTTTACTGTTTAATCTCTTCTTCCATTCCCTGCGCCTAGTTTCCAGAGATCAGTAGGCTATTATGGCTTCCCCAGATAAGCGCTCTCCAAGGCACTCTTAATTTCCTTGCTTTCTGGTGTGGGCAAGAGTGTTGATATGGTCTGGGCTGTCTCTCTCTCTGTCTCTCTTTGATAATGCAATTATTGTTCCTTTCAGTACAGCCCTCTCTGTCTGATCTTTATCTCAGCCCAGCAGATTGCCTAAATAGAGTTTGGAGCTACATAACAGCACTGTGTTCCTTCTAGCAAGTTTCCATTCAGAATTCAAAACGTTGGATGATGGGGAAAGTAGGAAACACAATTTCTTTAACAGGGCCTGTAAGTAGTACCCTTAAGCCACCAGATCTTGTCTGATCTTGGAAGCTAAGTAGAGTCAGCCCTTGGTAGGCATTTGGATGGGCTATATTTCAGAAGCAGGAGTAGGCAAAAAGCACCTCTCAGCATTCTTGCCTTAAACATCCTTTGAACTATGAACTTCACATCTTCACATACACGTTTTTAATGGATACCTGGTTACTTTGTCTGCATCAAACAGAACATCCCTTTAGGTAAAGGTAAAGGTTTTCCCATGACATTAAGTCCAGTTGTGTCTGACTCTGGGGGTTGGTGCTCATCTCCATTTCTAAGCTGAAGAGCCGGCATTGTCCATAGACACCTACAAGGTTATGTGGCCAGCATGACTGCATGGAGTGCTGTTACCTTCCTGCCGGAGCGGTACCTATTGATCTACTCACATTTGTATGTTTTCAAACTGCTAGGTTGGCAGAAGCTGGAGCTGACAGCAGGAGCTCACACCACTCCCAGGATTCGAACCCGCGACCTTTCGGTCAACAAGTTCAGCAGTTCAGTGCTTTAACCCACTGTGCCACCGGGAGCTCCTGAACATCCCTTTATGTAAATGCAAATTACAATCTTAATTTCTCCCTTTCTCTTTTAATGGAAAGGCCCAGAAACCAAAACTCTTGAGCAGTGTGGAGAGTCAGCTGGATGAACTTGGCGTCCTTATTTCCCAGACAAAGAGAACTGTCGATTTAATCAAAGTAAGATGGCTTAACTTTGATATCATCCCAAGTGTTTAAAGCTGAATGTCAAATCTTTCTCCATGCCATGGGTTTTTTTGTGCTGTTTTGCCTTTTCAGAGACTTCTCTAGTGCAATCAAGATTTTGGGATGTCCCCAGATTATTACAGTATTATGAGGGGTGCATTTTAGATGCATGAAAGCAAAGAAAGAAAGAAAGTGCTGCTTCTTGTGCACATTCTGTTCTGTAAATTCCTTCTACCAGAATATTGTGCTTCTCTTGGATTGCCCCACTTTAGACTGCAGGTGGAGAATCATATGCTTAAATGTTCCATGATTGAAAGGATAATTTCATTTCCATAGAAAATTAGCTGTCAAGTTGTAAGAGTAAAAAGTAATCTGTTCCTTTTGACTTTACAAGGATAGGCTTCATAATTTCTTTAAACGTAATAAGAATAGAAAAACTATTATTATAATTGCCTCCTTGATTAATGCTTTTTCCAGTTTTTTGTAGCAGTATCATACAACTTTAACTGCCAGAGCTCCATCCTATGAAATTCTGGGATTTTTAGGGTAGTGGGTCAGTTTGAATTTCCATATACAGAATGTTATCATTGTGCTTCAGGATTGGATTGTGGGGTCCCTAGCAGAAAATTTTAAATATTTAATCAAACTACCAATCCCAGGATTCCGTAGGATATGGAGGACCATGGCAATTACATTATTATTGACTCGTGGTTAAAAAGTTCATGAGAAATCTTTTCCTGTTTCATTATTTGCTGTCTTCAGGTTCCTGTTCAAAACATGGTTGATATTAAGCCTTGTAGAGCCACAGTTGGCAGTATGAAGCAGAAACAGGCCAAATTTTCTCCTTAGACTGTTGTTGAACTGAAGACTCCTATCATCCTTCTCAATTGGAAAAACTGGTTAGGGCGGGGATTAATGTCAACAGCAATCCAACGTGTTGACAACTTCATTAGTAGCCTTTGCTTCCCTTGCTTCAGTACTGAAAAATATATCCCCTTCCTCCTGTGAGCCAAAGACTTCCTTAGGCAACAATACCAGGTTTTCCTCACTGCATGATGTATATAGGATTGGAATATTTGTCAGGATCATGGTTTGGGAAGGAAGGATTAGATCTTCCTATTTTGTGCAGTGTAACTACTTATTGCTACTGCTGCTACTGTTATTTAAAATAACCTGATGATGCGTTTAGCATTCTGTCTGGCCTGGAGTGTTTAGTATTTCTCAAATGGAGGCCTCTGGAATAATTTTTTGGCAAAAGTATGATAGCTGGGACCCTACGCTGGTTGCACATCACGGGTCAAAATTCATGAAGGGAAGACATGTGTGAGACAGTGCAGCGAGTGAGAGATGCAGCTGTGAGGGAGGAGGAGAGGGTCTATGGCTCACATGTCCAGCCCTCCCAGAGCTCAGCTCCTCCACTGTTAGAAAGCGGGCAGGGAAAAGCAGAAGAGGGGAAGGCGTGGGGGGGGGGGGGAATCCGGTTCCTGCTGCTTTGTTTGCACTAGGGCCTTGTAAAAACCTTCCCCGGCCACCAGCACACTTTCTGCCCTTTGAAGAAAGCAGCCCCAGCAGCTGGGGACAGTCCAAGCGGACTTCCCTTCATTAATTCTGACGTACATTGCACAACTAGCGTAGGGTTCGTAGGGTCCCAGCTATCATACTTTAGCCAATTTTTGGTTGGTTCTCTCCACTTTCCTTCACTCTCCATTGGCATAAACCATCTCTATGTGTTTAGGGCACTGCTCAGAAAGAGAAGGAGAAGGTCAGCAAGCTTTTTGTTGAGACAGCCCGGGTCCTTGCAGCCTTCCAGAAGGAAGTCCTTGGATTCATTGATGATGGTGAAAGAGCCATGTTGAGTGCGGCAGAAGAGGAGCTGAGGCAGAAGGAAGAGAGACATGCCATGTTGAATGAGTGCTGGCAGAATTTGGAAAAGGTCAACAGCACAGATACCATCTCTTTCCTTCAGGTAGGTGCTCTGGGTAGTTCGCTGGTGAGGGAGGCCTGCCAGTAGAAAGCTCACCATGGGACAGTCAGCAATTGTTACGTTCTTTGCCTAGGCTTGCCCTTCTCCCAGCTAGACAACAGTAGAACAGGAGCCACCCTGTTGCAGCTTCTCTCCCAGAAAAAAATGCAGCAGCAACATGCAAGTTGCAGTTTGCTTTGATCAGATGTTGCTATCCTGTTAATAGTTTTGCCTAGAGCACTGGTGGGTATCCCAAAGCCTTATCATGCCCAAAAGCAATGGTGGCTGGTGGAGAATTCCAAATGATGGATATTTTCAACTTGTACTTAAAGTGAGTCATTTTAAGTGCAAGCTAAAAATACTGCATGCCTTCTTTAGCAGAAGGAGCAGCAGTACTGGCCCTGCCACCAAACATGCACACAACAGAAACCATAATCATAACTATCTAATGAACATTCCATTATAAGGTTCTCTCTCTCTCTCTTTCTCTCTCTTACATAGCCCCAACCACTGCACTTCTTGGGTGCAGGAGTGGGCATAACTGAAATTTGGAAGGCAGTAACTTGATTAAGGTTTTTCCATCCATCACGGATCTCTCTTGAGACTGCTGTTTTGTCTTCTTCCTCCTGCCCCAATCTCCTCCTTCTCTTCATGATGGGAAAACTTTGATCTCAGAAACCCATGTGGGGAATAGCCAAGGGCTGCATTATGCTTTCCAGCTTTAACACACAAATTGTGTGAACATCTGCAAAAACTGTTCATGCAAAGAAAGGGAATGGAGTCTTCCTTTCATTAGGCTCCAGAGTTTGCTTTGCTTCCTTTAATAGTACTTAGTCCTGCTGGGGTCCCTGCTAGACAATATGTCCTGATCGGTTTCATTTGTAATGGCTGGGAAAGGGGACTTTATAGGGAGGAGGCTCTCTTGGATTCAGCTCTGTTCTAAATGTAGATCCAGGAACTCTTTGTGCCAGCAGCTGCGTGTCCCCCACCCCACGCCCTCACTTCAGTATGTCTGTTTCCATATCATGAGTTGTTACAGCCATAGGCAGGTCTGTGGAATAAGTTCTGCTGTCAGTCAATCAACTGTTTTCTCTTTTTTGGGTCCAGGAGTTCCAAGCACTGAAAATAGCTGCTGAAGAGAAAAACTTCTCATGTGCAAGCTTTCCAAAAGAACTGAGTTTTATCAAATCGAGCCAAGCGGTGTGCACTGTCAAGGAGTGGCTCGTGAATATTTGCAAGAACCAGTGGGATCAGCTTTCAGGAAAAGGAGATGATGGAACCATTCCTTATGGGATGCCAGAAGGTTGGTAGCTGGGGAAATGCCATCCCTAATTTCTACACAGAGTCAATTGCCATATTGTGACACCAGCAGCGATGGTCCCCTTGGCCTTACAAGTGGCTTTGACTGCAGCTCCCCAAAACCTTTACCAGATCCTAAGAGCTGCTGCCTATTAAATGATAGGGTCCACTCTGTCCATTTAACTCTAAATTTCTAGTTGCTTTAGCAAATTCCCCGACTGAATTGATTAGATGTAACAAGACACGTGGCTTCTTCTCTTTTCATCCAGTTCTTAAGGGGTGCATCTATACTGTAGAACTAATGCAGTTTGACACCACATTAATTGCCGGGCTCAATACTTGTAATCATGGGAGTTGTCGTTTGGTGAAGCACCAGCTTTCTTTGACAGAGAAGACTAAAGATCACATAAAAGTAAAACTCTCATGATTCTATAGCACTGAGCCCTAGCAGAATAAGTGCTGTGAAATTGCATTAGTAGATGCCCTCAAAGCCTTCTTTTCGATTTTGCTTTTCCCTCCCTAGTGCAGTGCTTCTTGAGCTATCTGATGTGGGGACTGGAATGTAGTGTTTTTTCAGTGTGCCAAGGACCAATACTATGCTTGCGCCCAGCAGCTGAAAAATCCCCAGGGAGAGACAGCTGATGGATTGCTGTAAGTTTTTCGGATTGTATGGCCATGTTCCAGTAGCACTGTCTCCTGACATTTCACCTGAATCTGTGGCAAGCACCCTCAGAGGTTTGTTCAGAGGTGTGTTGACAGCTAATGGCTTGTGAAACCACTTTGAGTACCATTGTCCTAGTTCAACTGCTTTTATTTTTGTATAGTGTCATGTATGTTGGATGGTGCTATATTACAGAATAGGTAATATTGAGGAGGAATAGAAAAAGAAACCTTATTTATATTCACCACACATGCATAGATGTTCATTTGCATTACCATTTTTTAAGAAAGTTGTTGCTAGTTTTTTGGGGTTTTTTTTTTTTTTGCAATGCAGATTTTAGGACACTAAAACTACTAAGGACTTGGCACACCAAGTTGGACAACTTCAGGGGTCTAGGTTTTAGGCTACAGGTCCCATCATTCCTTGCTATAAGCCATGCTAGTGAGGGCTGATGAGAATTTGAACAGTGGGGAAAGGACAGATGCAGTTGCACAAATCAATATATGTGCTTGAAGGTCAATTTTTACATCTCCAGTATTTTGTAAGGAGTACACAACATTTTTCAGGTTGGTATTTTTGACTCATAAGTGGATGCGAAATTCCAGTAGCCTCAAAGGGAAAGGAAAAGGTATTGCAAGCTATATAACCCACATATAAAAACACTAGAAAAGAGAGCAGCTGCTTTAAAATTGCATAATAACAAGTTTCTAATTTGGCCTCTAACTTCTGGGCCTTGTGCCTTACTCTTGAGGTTTCCATAATGACTCAAATAAATCAGTAGGCAACAAACAGACATCACTGGGTGTGGCCAGCAGTGGTTTGGAGAGGATGTCCAAAGTGGTGGCCCTTAAAATAGAGCCTTGCCTGTCAGAACAGAGGGAAAGACATCTCTAAGCGACAGGCTTTAGTTTCAAGAATTCCTGTTCTGCCAGAACTAGAACTGATGTTGCTGGCTCTGTTGCAAGGGGAGGCAGCTGGCGCTCCTCTAGCATCTATTTGCATGGCTTAAAATTCCCAGCTGTTTACATTTACCCTGTACAGCTGTGCAGAACCTTAAATCATGTTGTTCCTTAACCTATTTGGCCAGTATGGCTGTGCTTTCTACTAACTAGGGCCATTGCCTGTCCCAGTATGACATTCAACTGTTCCTCAAAGAAACCATCACAGTAGAATGTGCCTCTGGCTGAGGCAGGTTTGGCATCATTTCTCTCAGGCCTGCCTTAGATTTATATTGTCACACCCAATTACCTTTGTGACCTTGTTTCAATCCTCTTTGGGCAGCGTTATAATCAAGGCAGTACTCACAGGTCTTAAGGGCTTGGATGATTTCACTGGCAAGGGCAGTAATGTTTCTGCTCTCCCTTTTCCCAATTCCTTTTAATTTCAACTGTTGTAATCCTTACAGTAGCTGTGAGACAGTAAATTGATAATTTTGGGAGCATATTATTGCCAGCTCCCTCTTAACACACATGACAGACAATAGGGCAACTGCATGGATGCTTGATCTCTTCTTGAGGCTGTGACTATAGAAACAGCCACGGGGAGCACCTGCACTTCCAACATTCAACTTTACACTGTTGAATATTTCCTGAATGCTCAGCAAGTGCAGGGGCCCATTCGTACTACATGGTTACAGTACTATCATCCTGTTATGGTTGCATCCTATGGAATCTGGGGTTTGTAGTTTGGCCAGAGGTACCAGAGGGGCTGCCTGGCTGAGGATGCCAAAAGCTCCCCTTTAAGTGTACACCTCATGATTCCATAGGACACTGCTATGGCTGTTAAAGTTTAATGATAACACTATCATTCTGTAGTGTGAATAGGCCACAGGATAACTGCTCCCACTGCTTCCAGGTCATGGTTTCCTCCTCCCACAGTCATTTTTGCTATGTTCAACTTGAGGAAAAGCATGAGAACCATGAGAAGTGAACAGCCCCTGTCCACACAAACACAGAGACACACAAATAAAGGTGAACACAAAGGAAAATAGCACTTTGCAGACCCAGGGAGAAGGTTGCCTTCCCCAACAGCTCCATAAAATAGTCATTTCTATATTTCCATCTGTCAATTTTAGATTAGGACAAGACCACAATAAAGATAAGAGCAGTAATTTTTGCTGACCAGTACTTTAGAGCTGCATAATAGATTAGGTTCTTGGATCCTGGGAGAGCACCCACTGGGGTTATTCTGTTGTGATTTAATTGTTTAAATTCTTAAGTTCAGAAGTCCTCCTGCTGCTGCTTACAGCTGGATTTTAGGTTTAAAGAGATTGTCGTGCCACCACAGAAACTGTTGGAGCATGCAAGCAATCTGTGAGTTTGTGTGTGTCCAAAGCCGATTAGTTGGGCAATGCACAGGGTGAAAGCTGAGCCTGGAACTTTTGGACACTGTTGCAATTGTGTTCAGGCTCGAGCTATGTAGATGTTCAGAGAGAAGCAGACTGATTTGCTTCTTGGCTGCTAAAAGATGGCCTCCCATATGGACAAAGAAATACCATTTTAAATCTCTCTGAAAGGACATTTAGTGAGTTGATGCAACTGATCATATTGTACATATGTTGTTCTGAATTAAGAAGAGTAAATCACTTGTTCTTTATTGTTCATCTGCGTGTCAGAGAAGTGAAGATGCTAAAAATATTCCACATCAAGGTTTATAGGCAGTGGTTGATCAACAGAAGTTAAACAATTAAACAGTTGAACAGTTGGTTCTGTAAGCAAAGTGGCTTTGCTGAAGACACAGAAAACAAAGACAATGGACAAGTAGGCAAAGATCACTGTTAAAGCAAATCCGCAATCTTTTAAGAGTCTGTTCTAGTTAGATTAGGAGGAGTTCGGATTTGAACCTTGCTATTGTTTTATTAAAGTGTTCCTCTGAGCATATCAACTCTGTTCCTAGTAAGATCAGGATACCTCCATGCAAACAGCTTGTGGGGGCAGAACAGGGATGGTGTGCCACCAGGTGGTTGTCTGGAATATTGTGTGTACTTTGATTGCTTCGGTTTTGCAGTCTGGGGTGTTGATGGAATTTTATGACAAATGCCTCTCTTTACAGTGACTATGGGGAGCCCAACTGCTGAAAAAAGCACCAACCCTGCCTCTCTGGAGTCCCGAGATTATTTTCTCAAATGTAAGACCATTTTTTTTATGTGTTGCCCTCTTTGGCTTTAATTTTCTTTTGTCAACAGGCCAGGTTTAGCCAGTGTTCAGTATAGTGCACAAATGTAGTTCCCACCAGGAAGCTGGCAGCAAAACAAATCAAAGATGCAAATTGTAGACACAATGCAAGTAAAATTAAATCCTTTTATGTTACATGACCAAAATGTGAAAGTTAAGCATATGACGTAGTCTTTCCCCATTTAAATCAATAGAACAGAAAAGTGCTTAATTTTTGGCTGCATATTATTAATTTGATGGCCAGTATGGTTCAATAATCTGAACAAATCTTGTAAAGAAAAAAACAACTCTATGATATGATCTCAGGGCTGCCATAAGTTGGAAACAACTTGAAGGCTTACACAACTTTCTTAGTGACCATTACATTTCATGATAGAAAAGTTACATAAGGAAATGCTCATTGCAGCTGATTGATCTTTTGGTCCAGTATGGCTAATATACTTTGCAGGCACTGTGCCTATAGTGTTAAAGAGTGGAACTGGAAACCTCCAGGTTCAAGTCCATATTGAGCTATGCAACTTACTGTATGGCCTTGGATCAGAGAGGTCTCTTCCAGATCCACCTTACATGATTATAAGGATATAGTGGGTAGGAAGAGAGATGAAGACAGCCATGTAAACTGCCTTGGGCTAATAGAAAGGCAAAGTATACATTTTACTAATACAGGTTGAGCATCCATTTCTTGAAATGCTTGAGATCACACACTTTTTGCATTTTAGAGGGGGCATTTTTTTCCCTCTAAGCATCCTTAAAATCTGATTCAGAAGATCATGGAGAGGGAAGAGTGGAAAAGGATATTTGCTGATCTCCATAACATTTATATTCCTGTTACGTCTGGTAATGCTCTTTTAAACTGCATCAGCACATTTTCTGACCAAGGTCAAAGCAACACAAACTTTCAGTCTCCCCCCTTTGCTCAGTGCACATGTATGTGTGCATGCATATTTAAATCTAATTATAAACAAAACAAAACAAAAACAGCAGCCTTACCAGTCCCAGTTTTTGCAGTCTATATTTTGGCTGGAGTGATGGAGTTTTCCAGTCATAGAATTAAACAGCAGCAAAATGCAAAACTCCCTAAATCCATAATGGTTGAGTCACTGTGCTAAGGCTTTCTCTGTTTTGTAATTTCAATTTTGTTGTCCTGAATGAAAATGAAATAACACCATGTAGCTTTGATTTTAATCCCTCCTTTTTTAAACCCTCCCTTTCCATGCAGTTGCTTTCATCATAGATTTGGACAGTGATACAGCTGATAAATTCCTCCAGCTCTTTGGCACCAAGGGGGCCAAGCGTGTGTTGAATCCCATCGGCTACCCTGAGAACCCCACCAGGTTCATTAACTGTGAGCAGGTGCTGGGTGAGAATATCATGAACCGCGGCAACTACTATTGGGAAGTGGAGATAATTGATGGCTGGGTGAGCATTGGGGTCATCACAGAAGACTTCAACCCCCAGGAGCCATATGATAGGGGCCGCCTGGGCAGGAATGAGAAGTCCTGCTGTCTGCAGTGGAACGGGCAGAACTATGTTGCCTGGTTCGGGGGTTTTGACTGTGTGATACAACAGCCTTTCTTCCACACCATTGGCGTGTTCTTGGAGTACTCTGAGAAGGTGCTGACATTCTTTGGAGTCAAGGATGCCAAGATGACCTGTCTGCAACAGTTCAAAGTAGCTCGGTTCAAAAAGGGCCATTTTGATCCCTTCCAGAATAAGATCAACCACCAGTTTCCTACCTTTTTTTCTCACAATCTCAAGCCAGCATTTTTTCTTGAAAGTGTAGATGCCCACATGCAACTCGGACCTTTAAAGAAAGACTGTGTCTCTGTGCTGAAACGACGTTAATTTGTTTACTGTATAGGAAAGAAGACAGAATTCAGAAAAGGCTAACCTGAAGCCTCTTTAGTGGCACTACAGCACCTCACTGGTTTAGGGTTAAAAGCATGTGTCATTCTTATCTCTGTCACTACCACATGAAAGGCATTTGCTGACATCACTTTTGCTTCTGAGTTTTCATTGGGATAGCACTTTTTAGGGCTTCTGCCTTCTGGACCTAATCTAGAAGGCCCTAAGCTTGTTTTCCTTTCACATATTTTGAATTGCTTCAATTCTCTTATTGTATAAACCTGCTGGTGCCACCAAAAGCAGCAGACACCTACACTGGGAATAAACGCACCAAAAGAAAGAATAAACCTTGATCAAAAAATAGCCAGAATTAGTGCCAATGTCTATATTCCTGTAAAAATTAGTGGAAAAGATAAGGATGAGGATAATTATAGAAATATATTGAATTAGATGATTCTCTCCATGAGAAAAAATTGAGGGATCGACTCTTAGTTCATTTACTTAAATCCAGATTAGGTAGAGTACTGGATGACATGTGTCAGCTTGCTCCAACATGGTGCCCTCCAAATATATTGGAGGCACCTCCCAATTGTGAGAATATTTCTGAGAGATGAAGTCCAATATATCTAGAGGGCAGCAGCTTTGGGAAGGGTGTGTTCTGTAAAATGATACTGGAGACTTTTGGACATCCAGTTCTCAAGCTGCCAAATATCCACCAAAATCGGGTCCAAAATGTCATTGTTCTAGATGTGGTAGGTATTCAAACATTCCTCTAGTTCTGTCTACCTGGGGTTGTAGTTACAGATTACCATACACAATTGTAACTTGCTAGCTGCAGTTGTAAGCAATTTTCTAATCACAATGGTGCAAAAGGCCACACACATTCAAAGGTGAAGTTAAATCAGAGTTTACCTATGTAGCAGATCACTGCTTGTTTTTAAATTTCATTAAATAAAATGGGAGTTGTGCTGAGGAAAGAGTACAGCCCCCTCTCTGACAGCTGAAATGTAAACAAACGAAACAGCTGGCCAGAAAGCAATTGTGACACAGTTCAGCAATTGCTGTACTTTACTAGTTACTACACTTCATACTTTTGTGTTGCAGTCACAGTAGCAAGATGGATGTGTGGGTAGATTCAGACTAGGTTCTTAGATACCAGCCCTAAATAAAAGTGAAATTGGGCACCTATGAGTTGTAGTATCTTTAGAATATGTCGTAACACAACACTGATGTGTTTCTTAGTGATGCTTAAAAAGTGGTAGAAAAACTGTCTTGGCTTGATATTCTAATATATTAATTACTGTAAATTGGGGGAAAGCAGGAAGATGTACTGCTTGAGTTGTACTTTCCAGTTATTGTCTTGCTGATCTAGAGTTCTTAAGCAATAGACCTTATATTTTTAAGGCGAAAATGAAAGCCATAGCGAGTGACTCTTGAGAACAGGTCCATGAAAAAGGGATGGGGAGATTTGAGGCAGATTACAAAGATTTGAATTTCCATATAGCATGGACACTAAGTGCCTACAGGTCATGATTTCACCACAAGGTGCCTTTCAGGTGTATGTTGGATGACAATGTCTGTAATAATCAGTGGCTGTGCTGGTTGGGGATAATGGGACTTCTAGTTCAGGCATCTGGTAAATATGCCAGATTGTGAAAAATTGAACTTTACAACTGCTATTTTCCAGCAGATCACTTCCACCCATCCTAGTAAAATGACACTATAAACAATATTGCACCCAACATAATGTAGTCCTGTTGCCTTCTAAAATGCAGTATCAAAAAAAAGTTTATAGTCAAGTAGTGTGAGAAGTTACAAACTTTTCTGTGGACATTGAGTAAAGTTAAACCTGGTTTAATCTGTTCTGTTTTTGGATATGAAATGGTAGTGGAATTGATGATCCACTATATTTCTTTCTTCCCCAGGATATAAAATTAATGGTTAGTGTGATATGAATTTAGTATTACCCTTGGGTTATAAGTGTACAATTGTAACATATTCCAGCTTGTTACACTTAATACAAATTTATGCTCAAGGAAGAGGAAAAGAATTGGGAGTTGTTTTTAATTCAAAGATTTTTCTTCATGTATTTCTTGCAGAAATAAAAACATAATGCTGGTGTACTTCATAAATGCTGATGTACACCAGTCTTCACCACTGATGCTGGTGTACTCCAGGGATTCAGTATTATGACTATTTTTGAAGGAGTTAATTAAAGTTTCATATATTGTCTACCTCCCAAGGCTTGGTCTTCATACAAAATAAAGACTATTGTGTATTTATACATAACTAATAGTATTATTAATGAGGTCAATGGTGTGAGTTCACTTGTCTTTGCTGTCTGGGTTTTAATCAGATATTCCTAGCTATCAGCAAGAAACAGTGGTCACCACAGTTAGTTTTTAAAACTTTCATTGATGAAATAAACAACAACACAATTGTTACTGAGTTGACTACTATGCTAGTAGTGTTGTGATATTTAAACAAGCCTTTATGGAATTAACTGGAATGATCACTTTTTCACACTGAACAAACTGGCTGTATTTGTTGTTCTTTCTACTCAATTGGCTGAATCAAATGTTTGTTTCTTTACACAGTGTTGTGCAATTATTACTTTTCCATATTTTGGAGTGTTACTAATCCATTTGCTTTGGGGATTTCCAAATCAAAACATACGGTTCTGTAATCTGAAGTGTGTGAGGAAATTTAATTTCTATTAAACAATATGCAAGTACAATCCTGATTTCTCTGTCGTTCTTTCCACTCTGCTTCATGCTTGTTCTGTAATATATAATGGGGTAGATTTGTCTTTAAAGAGTGTGAGTTTTGAGGGAGGAAGAGGTAGTATGAGCAGATTTCTTGGAATGGGAAGCATGGGACTTATTTTGATTTAAACCCATTGAAGAGATCAGGGAAAGATGGGTGGGGGGGAATCAATGGATCATCAAATTGGAAACTAATGCAGGAATGTTATGTGAACATGAGTTCACTACATTTTATATACAGTCATCCCTCACATTTGTTTGAGGTATGGAGGAGAACATTCTGCAAATGTGAAAAAAGCAAAAAAATTAAAACCCGCTACTTTTTTTTTTACCTAAGAGAATACTTCTCTGGGAATCTCTAGACCAGGACTTCTTAAACTGTGGCCCCTGGCCCCAAATTGGGTCTCCTTAGCTCAGTGATGGGGTCCCAAAATTAGTAACAGTGTAAATTTTCTGAATGTCACCCTAGTGGCTGTTTGACACATTTACACAAGCCTGTTGTGCTGTGTTTACAGTGGACTATGCAGAAGATGCTTCAGCTGTGGTTTATAAGAAAAATCAGCCTATGTAGCACATCTTACAAATGCAGATTTGTTACTAGTAAATGTTTGATTTTTCTACCTATTTTACGTAGGTTACGTAAAAATTTCTTGGGTGAAAAGGAGTCGCAAATGGAAATATTTTAAGAAGAGTGGCTCTAGATCAGTGGTTCTCAACCTGTGGGTTCCTAGGTGTTCAACTCCCAGAAATCCTGACAGCTGGTAAACTGTCTGGGATTTCTGGGAGTTATAGGCCAAAGCACCTGGGGACCCACAGGTTGAGAACTATTGCCATAGAAAAATCTAGTGAGAATGTTTTAATCAAATCTGCAAGTCAAACCTGCAAATGTGGAGGACCAGCCATACTCTGTTTCTGAACAGAACATTCAGAATCACCTTTAGATTAAAAACAATGGTTTGCAGGCAAGGAGACAGGGCTCGAAATAAGAAGAAAATGTGTCTAACAAATTACCGTAAAAACCGGCATACTAGACGACTTTCTAAGCCAAGAAAGTCATCTTAAAAGTGGGGGGGTCGTCTTGTGTGCCGGCTATAAGTTCCACCACTTGAGGATGCCGAGAGCGAGGGATGCGAGCAGCCATGAGAGGCCAAAGGGAGCCTGCTGGTATCGCAGCTCAGCTGGCCAGCACTCCCGGCAGACCTGCCGATCCTCCTCCTCCCCCCTCGCCATCCCCAAGCAGCACAGCCTGCTGCTCTTGCCCTTGCACAAGCCCAGCTGGCCATCACCCCCGGCAGCACAGCCGCTCCTCCTCCTCCCCGTCCTCCTCCTGAAGGGAAAAGGGGCAGAAGAGGCTGCCCTCAAGCCTCCCATTCCCGGCCAGCTCAGGCCTCTTTCTCCCTCTCCTCTCCTTCCTCAAACAGTGCAGGTAGGCTACTCAAGGAGAGTCAAAACAAAGGCACCTCGGAGAAAGACCTGCTGGAGAAATTTCTTCTTTCTCCTGATCCATCTCCCCTCTTTGAGGTTTCTTTCCTTTATCTTTGCTCAGCTCCCCCTTCCTTTCAGCAGCTCTTGTTTTAAAAGTTTTAAAGAGCCTGCAAAGGGAGGAAGAAAAAGGTCTCTTTCCCCCGTTTTGTTTCATTTCTGCAGCCAAGAGCGAGGTAGCCTCTGCAAGGGCGAGCTTGTCTTAAAGGGGAATCGCCAGTGAGAGGGGCGAGCTAGTCTTAAAGGGGAATGCCCTCCAAAAAAAACTGCCACAGGTTCAGTGCCATGGAGTCACAGCAGTTGTAGTTTTACAAGGTCCTTAGCCTTCCCTGTTTAAGAGAGGCAGTACCATATCAAACTACAAGTCCCAGTTTTCTATCAGATTGTTTTTAATTTCAACTCTCACAATTCCTAACACCAGGCATAGGCAAAGTTTGCCCATGCCTAGTAGAGAAGCATCCTACATTTCTTCAGGGTACATCAATAGTACTGTAGAAAAACACAAAAGGTTCAGTTCTGTTGAGCACAAACTCACATCACCAGATATACATCTGGAAAAATAACAGAAATGTTCCAAGATAGTTTAGCTTTTGAGACATATCCAGAACATGTTTTCTTTAATAGCAGGAGAAATTAACTCATTTCCAGCCATGCCAACAATGTGTGTATTAAGTGGGAAAATCATGAACACATAGAATCATAGAATCAAAGAGTTGGAAGAGACCTCCTGGGCCATCCAGTCCAACCCCATTCTGCCAAGAAGCAGGAACATTGCATTCAAATCACCCCTGACAGATGGCCATCCAGCCTCTGCTTAAAAGCTTCCAAAGAAGGAGCCTCCACCACACTCCGGGGCAGAGAGTTCCACTGCTGAACGGCTCTCACAGTCAGGAAGTTCTTCCTCATGTTCAGATGAAATCTCCTCTCTTGTAGTTTGAAGCCATGGTTCCGCGTCCTAGTCTCCAGGGAAGCAGAAAACAAGCTTGCTCCCTCCTCCCTGTGGCTTCCTCTCACATATTTATACATGGCTATCATCTCTCCTCTCAGCCTTCTCTTCTTCATGCCCAGCTCCTTAAGCCGCTCCTCATAGGACTTGTTCTCCAGACCCTTGATCATTTTAGTCGCCCTCCTCTGGACACATTCCAAAAGTTGCATTTAGATCAGGCTTTGGCCCTCCAGGTGTTCTGGATTTCAACTCCCACAATTCCTAACAGCCTACTGGCTGGGTTGCTGTGAGTTTTCCAGACTGTATAGCCATGTTCCAGAAGTTTCCTCTCCTGATGTTTTGCCCAGATCTATGGCAGGCATCCTCGGAGGTTGTGAGGTCTGTTGGAAACTTGGCAATATATCTGTGGAAAGTCCAGGATGGGAGAAAGAACTCTTGTCTGCTTGAGGCAAGTGGGAATGTTGCCAAGTGGGAATGTTGTTGATTAGCATTGAATGGCCTTGCAGCTTCAAAGCCTGGCTGCTTCCTGCCTGGGGGAATTCTTTGTTGGGAGGTGTTAGCTGGTCCTGATTTTGTATTGTCTGAATTTCCCCTGCTTTTTTAGTTTTGTTTTTTATTTACTGTCCTGATTTTAGAGGGGTTTTAAAAAATACTGGTAGCCAGATTTTGTTCATTTTCATGGTTTCTTCCTTTCTGTTGAAATTGTCCACATGCTTGTGGATTTCAATGGCTTTTCTGTGGAGTCTGACATGGTGGTTGTGAGAGTGGTCCAGCATTTCTGTGTTCTCAAATACTGACTGTTAGGAATTGTGGGAGTTGAAGTCCAAAGCACCTGGAGGGCTAGTTTGCCCATGCCTGATTTAGATCCATTTAAAAAAGGCTATATTCATCAAGCCCTTTGGGCATGACCTTGGAAATACCTGGCTGCAGTGCAAAATCTTCTCAAGTGTTGGGTGGCTTTAAGGCAACTTCTGTCCCCTCAGCTTACCAGTATCTGCTGCATTTCCCTCCCCTGAATTATACTCGAGTCAATACGTTTCCCCAGTTTTTGGTGGTAAAATTAGGTGCCTCGGCTTATATTCGGGTCAGCTTATATTCGAGTATATATGATAACTAGAACTGGATGGCCACCTGTTGGGGGGGGGGGGCTTGCATTGTGTCTTCCTGCCTGGCAGGAATGGGGTTGGACTGAACAGTCATTGAGGTCCCTTCCAACACTAAGGTTCTATTATTATTGTTATTATTATTTCTGTTATTAAGTAGAACAGGATGGCCACCTGTCGGGAGGGCTTGGACATGTGTTTCTGTCTGGCAGAATTAGGGTTAGACTGGATGGCCATTGGAGTCCCTTCCAATTCTAGGTTTCCATTATTGTTGTTGTTGGGGAAAGGACATTGGACCCAGCTCTGGTCTCATCCTAGGCAAGGTAAGATAGAAATTTATAGAACTTTATTATGCTCCATGGACCCACAACTGTTAAATAAATAACAAACATACAGGAGTTTACAGGTGAGGTAAGGTTTTCTCCTGACGTTAAGTCCAGTCGTGTCCGGCTTTGGGGGTTGGCGCTCATCTCCATTTCTAAGCCGAAGAGCTGGATACTGCTTTGATAGTCTTGGATTTGAAATCAAATCTGATGTTTTTATTTTTTATTTTTATTTGGTGTGCGATGGAAGAGGGGTGGTCTTATACGGCGAGTATATACCAAACTCTATATTTTAACTGGAAAAGTTGGGGGTCGTCTTATACGCCCAGTCGTCTTATATGCCGGAATATACGGTAGTTAAAATGCTAATTGGAGAGAACAGTACAGTGTGGAGATCAAAAGTACAAGCCAGGTCAACAGAAAGGCCAAAAAGGAATGAGTCTTTTCCAGGGAAGGCCCCAAATAGGTCTCTGGGTGGAGTAGGACTGGGAAAGAGCTAAGGCAGTAACAACAAATTTATGATGTCTTTGGGACTTACTGTTCTTCTTCTTTTTTCTTTTTTTTTAGTAATTCCTGGTTATCTGGCTCACTCTTTCAGGCTGAGACTAGAAACATTTGCCTCCAAGATGTTAAACCACGCATGAATACAATGTTGCAACCATTCTTAAGATCGTGGAGGCTAGAAACATACAGGTCCAAACCTATTTTGAAGGGTTTTTTATGACAAACTCCAGTTTTTGCATCACTTCTATTCTCCAAAACAGGGCTGGGCTCATGACTGGAATCGAGTCCAATTGTGGATGTACATGAAGTTCTTGCTTACCGCTTCTTAATTTGGACAAAGGCCCTGGAAAAATAACTGTTTTATGCACATCTGGACCAGCTAGGGAATTTCTTTTTTTAAAAAAACCATGGCATAACTACAACAAATTTAAGACTGTGGTAAAAATAGCATGAGAAGCCACAGGCAGGCTTTTTAAATGTGTGACTTCTGAACTGCTGGTATTTTTTTATATAGAAAATATACCAATCATAAAGCTATCCACATGGTTGCTTTAAATGGCCTTCAGGTGATTGTAATGGATCTTATCGTAAATGACAAATAAAGCAGGAGGTAA